GGATAAACCCTGGTTCAATTTCAGAAATTCGCAGAAAATCGCGCCAAAGAGATAGACAGTTTTCACAAAGCATTAAATTCTAATAGATCATCAGACTGGGTAATATATAAACAATTAAGAAATACAGTAAATAATATGAAAAAACATGCAAAAGAAAAATTTTATAAATAACCTCGAATTTTCCCTAAATGACTTAAATTCTTCGAATCCGCGTAAATATTGGCATACCAATTAAAATTCTTGTCAGGGGAAAACTCGTCAATACTGAAAGTATACCACCTTTAAAATGTAACACAAGTAACAATAATTATTCCAATGACAGTTTGAAAAAGCTAATACGCTTAATGATTTTTTTGTTTCCATTTCAGACCTTGACGAATCAAATATTGATTCTTTTCCAGATTTTCATTAAGAACAGAAGCGATTCTTGAAAATTTTTACAATAAGTGAACAGGAAATTACAGATATTTTTGGCAAATTTATTCGTAAACAAAGCATCCGGGCCTGACGAAATTAGTCATAAAATTGTTTAAAAGAAACGTCTAAAACACTGTGTAAACCACTCTCTTTGCTTTATAATCGTTCTTTATCAGAGAAAATATATCCGTCTAGTGGAAATTAGCACATGTAATGCCTCTTTTTAAAAAAAGGTGACAAAGATATACCGTCAAACTACAGGCCTATTTCTCTTATCAGTTGCACCGGCAAAGTTATGGAACGTATAGTTTTTAAACATATTTTTAACTATCTTCATGAAAATGCTTTAATATTTCAAAATCAATCAGGTTTTCTGCCTGGTCATTCAACTGTTTTTCAACTTATAGATATATATGATCAAATTTGTAAAGCTTTAGACAAAAAAGAATCAACATGTATGGTTTTCTGTGATATAATCAAAAGCGTTTGACAGAGTTTGGCATAAGGGTTTAATTTTCAAATTAAGACAGTACGGAATTTCAGGTGATTTAATTCTTTGGCTAGAAAATTATTTAATGAATAGAAATCAGAAAGTTTTTGTTGGGACTTCTTTTTCTATTTTACGTTACCTTCATGGCGGTGTCCCTCAAGGCTCGGTTCTTGGGCCTCTTTTGTTTTTAATTTACGTTAATGATATTGCCGATTCCCTTTTAAGTATAACACGACTTTTTGCAGATGATAGTTCTTTAGCTGTGTCTACAAATAATATTAGTACGATGGGAATATAAACTCAATCATGATCTCAATATGTTAAATAAATGGTCTAAACAATGGTTGGTTAATTTTAATCCTTCTAAAAACCGAGGTTTATGTTCTTTTTCGTTTTTTGCAATAGAGATCGCCCCAAATTATACTTTGATAATGTTCAATTAAACTTTGTAGAGCACCATAAACACCTCGGCGTAACTCTAAGTCAGGATGGATCATGGCACGAACATATTACTACTATAGTTTCTTCGGCATCAAAAAATTTTAGGTTCTATGAAAATGATAAAGTTTAAAGTTCAAAGAAGTACACTCAATAATATATATATTTCATACTTACGTCCTCGTCTTGAATATGCTTCACTTTTATGGGATAACTGTACCCAGTACGAGAAAGATATTTTAGAAAAAATGCAATATGAAGCGGCTAGAATTGTCACCGGTTTAACAAGATCAGTGTCCATTCAAAAATTATTAAAAAGAAAATAGGGTTGGGTATCTTTGGCAGAAAGAAGAAAAATTCAAAAACTTATATTAGTATACAAAGATAAACATAATTTACTTCCATTATATTTATCACAGTTATTTCCCCCTTTAGTAGAAAATGCAAATGAAAACCAGTATAATTTAAGAAATAACATCAATTATGTTACTATGACAAGGAGAACCGAAATATACTCAAAATCAGTTATACCGTCATCAATACAGCTTTGGAATGAATTATCAATAAATATTAGAGAATCTGACTCGTTAGCAAACTTTAAAAGAAAACTGAAAGAAATTTATAAACCTCCCATTGTTCCGTCTTATTTTATAAACGGTGAGCGATCACCAACAGTATACCATACACGTCTTAGGAATAATTGCAGTAATTTAAACTCGGACTTGTATAACAATCATATTACACAAAACCCAGCTTGTGAATGTGGTGCTTTAATAGAGGACGCTGAACATTTTTTATTTCAATGCAAAAAATTTAATCATCAGAGGATAGAACTTTTTAGAAATACAAGAGAATTTCATCCTCTCAGTACGCAAAAGTTACTTTTTGGTATAAATACTTTAGCTAATTCTCAAAACATGCTTTTATTTCATCATGTTCATCGGTTTATTAAAGAAACGAAAAGGTTTATATAGTTTAACAACATTTGATCTTCTTTTATACTTTGTTTTTATGGTTCTAAACAAATTGTTAGACTATTGTCAGCTGTCAAAATTCATAGTAAAACTTTTGTAGGGGGTAGGCGACGTGTTTTTTATTTTTTTTTTTTCATATATCATAAAATATATTTATTTACAATTTCTTTTTTCTGATTTTTTTTTTCTTAGATTTCAACTTAATTAATCATACTTTACATATGTCTTTTTCACATCTATTTTTAAATAACATTGCAGTCAGTTTTTCAGGGGAGGGCCCCCGATAATGTTGTTATAACTTTTGGCCCAACCCTTTTGTATATTTACATTAATGTATTTATGTATAATTGTGAAAATTTATGTTTGTATGTATATATATACAATAAAATATGTTTAAACTAAACTAAAAAAACATTCCATGTCACGGTTTCACTTCTTTGCGTCAGTTACAATTCATACACTATAAAACAGGATTGAATTTGTAAACTAGAACTTCGCGAGTCGGATGTGTCGCCTTGTGAACAATATAGTTTAGGAGAAATGGCCAGGACAAAAATGAAATATGAAAATTAACAAAGGGCAATAACCCACAAAAATAAGAAGTGCAGAGCAGCAGTTTCTGTACACTGCACTTTATATCAATAAGATCTTTCATCCTATGAAGTTCCAAGTCCATAGCTTTTATAATTTATAAGAAATGGCCAGGCCAAAAATAAAGTATGAAAATTAATGAAGAGCAATATCTCAAAAATAAGAAGTGCAGAGTACCGGTTCTTGTACACTGGAGATCTATCATCCTATGAAGTTTAAAGAACATAGCTTTTATACTTTAGGAGAAATGGCCTTGACAAAAATAAAGTATGAAAATCAACAAAGGCCAATAACTAAAAAAAAGAAATGCAGAGTACCTGTTCTTATCCACTGCACTTCTTCTTAATGAGATCTATCATCCTATGAAGTTTCAAGCCAATAGCTTTTATACTTTAAGAGAAATGGCCTGGACAAAAATAAAGTATGAAAATTAACAAAGGGCAATAACTCAAGAATTAAGAAATGCAGAGTAACATCTTGCGTACTGCATTTCGGGTCATTATAAGAAGCATGCATACCAAGTTTTAAGTCAATCCGACTTATAATGACTGACTTATGCTCCGGGCAAGCTTAAGGGGACGCCGACGACGCCGACAACGACGCCGACAAAAGTAATCCCTATATGTCAAGGCGACACAAAAATGCTATGCCTCCGTCTTAATTTAACACTAAATAATAGGAACAGAAGTAGACTTTTTTATATTTTGTTTCCATACAATTGAACTTTACCATAAAGTACTTTGCCATAATGCAGTAGTGTCTAGTGAATTTTGGGGTCTAGGTCATATTTCAGCATGCCAAATGAAGGACAATGTGCAGATTCGTATAATGTTCAATTTTGACCCCAGGGCTATAATTTGAACAATCTTGGTACATGTCCACAATACACTGCATTGTTCAAAATGTCTATGCTCTAGGCATTTTTTTTCTAGAGAAGAAAGTATTTTCAATTCTATTATTCCTTTCGGTTGTCATGGCAACCATGTTTCTTCACGGAATCAAATCACGCACACGCACACACACACACACACACACTCGCTCGCTCACTCATATAATCAAATACACTTGCAATGAAAGAATCTGTGACATCAATGTATTGCTCTTAATAGTCATATTTTTCTATCTAAAATATCAAAACGACAATTCACTCCAGATTGGTTTGATATTGTCGAATATATGGGGACATGAGTATAAGCAAGGGAAATAAGTTTATTTAAAACAATATATTATATTTATTTTTGTTAATAACAATCTTGACATTTCTAAAGTTGTAAAACATTTAAACTTTCATGGATACCATTTCTCAACTTCAGTGTAGATTTCTTCATTTTTCATACACTATATATTATCTAGAAATATAGTAGGTTTAGCTAATTCAAGACTACTTTTTACAAGCTAAATCTATTTTAGGATAATTTATTCAAAGTTTACAAAAAAAAAAAAGAAATTCTAGCGCTGTTGTTAAAAGCACATGATGCCTCAGAAACGAATACATTTTTTTCTTTAGAAAGGGCAAACATGAATTTTATAACATATAAATAATGGTTTTAGAGTTATTATAATGTGAAGAAAATAGCGATAAATGAGAAATTATTTGCCATGAAAGTACTAAAATGTAAACAGAGAAGTATTTTGATATCCATACAAAATACTAAATCACTATAACTACAATAATTTCCAACAAATGGTGCTTCAGGTAACTAGCCAATGGGTAACTTTCTTCGAAACTAAAGATGTGCACCAAAGCTTTAAAGAAATAAGAATGAATCATTGCCAAGGCATATACCAAGCCCTTAAGTATAAAATTAACATCATTAAGTTATTTGTAATCAGGAGCAAAGTTATATATTAACGTATTCAAAAAAGTTAGGGGATACATATGTACATACAAAATTAAGAACATTTTATCATTATTTATGAGCCAAAAGCTGTTGCTAATGTCGTTAAATATTACAGTCACAAATTACAGATTTATTTTATGCTAAATGGCACAAAGGTTGCTTAAGGAGGTATGAAATGGCTGTTATAAAGATATCAAATACATGTAACAAAAATATGCAAATCTAGTTGCATTATAACAAATGTGTAAGCTCGATAATATCTTTTATTTCAGTAAAAAATGGATATTTTCTCATATATATTGAACAACAACAACAACATAACAATTTTTACTAGTATTTCAAATAAACAAACACACAAACAAACAAACAAACAAACAAATTTTCTTTTGATTGTATTGAGTTGTACCTGTCTTTATTGAAGCGCGGAAAAAGAGAAGGCGTCCCTTATACGTGTACGCGAACAAAAATATTCAAGTTTTTAAGTGCGATTTTAAGTGACGTAGATATACTAATCGAGAAAATGCCAAAAAGAACAAAACGAAACAATTAAATATTATAAATTTAAAAAAAACAACAATCTTTTTTTATGATACTTTTAGCAGACTACAATTTTTCCAAGCATGCCAAGGGTAAAAAAAAGTATTTCCCACGCTCTTGTTCTTAAGCCAATTTACGGAATTATACATTAAAGTCAAAAGCTTTATCATTTGCAGTGAGTGATATGGATTAAATTTCACTGATTAGTACGTATAAATAAATAGCTTTATGTAGCTATTTACAGTTATATACAGTTATAAAGATACAGCACTACTGCTGAACATTTATGATGATAATGATCAATATATAAAATGGCGGCTGAACATTAAAAATATCTAAACATTAAAAATATCGGTGCAACAGCTATAACACAGTCGCAAAACAATTATCAAACAATAAAGAAACAGTTATAAAATAGCTGCGGAACAGATACATGTACAAGATACAAATCAAAATATTAGACAGCTGAGAAAGAATTAGAAAATACACGGTGAGTAAATGTCAACAAGACATAAATGTTCACAAATCTGTATTCTTTTGTTTTCACCAGCCACAAGAACGGAAATTCTAGTACCGGAAGAAAATTTCAAACTCATTATAGATAGTCAATTCTCTTTTTGATCAGTTACTTAATAATAAAAAACAAGAACAAAATAACGGGCAAAACTATAACAAATGATAAACATTATCTGCCATTTCAGGTGGAGCTATTTACTAGAGCACAACTTTGTAATAAAAGCTGTGACTAGAGTTGACCCTAAAACAAATCTTTCAGATGTTTTTGTTCAGTTTCGTCAAGTATTTCATCCATTTTTGATTTCATAACTCTCTTTTTTGATATTATTAGAAGCAGCTTTCTATTACCTGAATCTGGAGTGGACTCGGTAGTTATTTCTTGGTATTCATTTCTTGTAATTATCTCCCTTTCGAACAATTTATCTGACAACGGAACGCAATGCATGTCCTTGATCAGGTGAGTGAAATTTCGACGCACATTAATCAGTCTGTCATCTAATGAGCATATTCTAGTTGGTGCAGATATTTGTCTAGTCATAACACCTTTCCCTGATGACGACGGCAATGAGAGGGTATTACACGCAACAGCGTTTTGTAATGTATGTGTTATTTTATCAACCTTTTCATGAAGCAGGGTATGTTCGAATTCAAGGGCAGCCAGTCTTCTGTCTGTAGTATTCTCATCAACTGTTTTCACTCCCGTAACCTCAGAATAATCACTCACTTGCCGTTTCAATTCAGTTTTATCTTGGTGCGATAAAAATGGATCAATTGAATTTTCAGCATCAACATTTGAAGGTTCTCTGACGACAGAATCTACAACGTTGGTATTATTACTAACACCGCTTTCTCTTCTTTTGCTGACTGTCACAGTAGTCCTATATAGTTCTAAAATAACCCAAACACTGCCGTCACTACCATTACGTAGTGTCTGCTCATTGTACTTGCTTGATGCAGCCCTATAACCAACTGTTCTTTCATTGATCAGTGTTACAAGTATCTTTCCTTTACAATCATCTTTTTCAAATGTTTCTAAATTAGTTGTTGGTGACTCACTGGCAGAAACCGGACCAGAGTCAAATAAATGTTTAAATTCCTTCTTTAGGCCTTCCGGGTTTCTTTCATAAACATCAAACTTGACGTGAAACCGACTTGGTTCACGGTCACCGTCTAGAAGTGGTTCACACTGAAATGAAAGCTCTTCACCTATTGTTATCTTCTCTTTAACATAACACGTGGAAGATGGATTTAACATTATAGTTGACGCAGTGTAGTTATTTTCTTCAAGGTTGATATTTGCCCCATGATTTCGTGAAAAGCTAATTGGATTTTCAGGAGAACCTGAAAAAAAAACTAAATGTTATATTATCTGCTGCCACTCCTAAATCATTAAAAACAAATAAAATTTACATCTGCATATAGATCAGCTGGGGCACTTAAAACAAAAAAGATTTAAAAAAGATACAAAGAAATATACTCATAAAGAAGTCGGAAATCGTTATTTGTGCTATTCTTAGCCGAATTTGAATGACAAGCGTTACAACGTCATTTTTGCGTCTTTTTTTCTCAATTAGAATAATTATTCTGGAAAAACGGTGTAACTGATCCGCAACTTTGCACACACATTAGTGGTCTAAGCCTACATCAAATGGAACATAAATCTCAAAAAAACTATTTCCAGTCCCATCAATTCAAATAACTCCAAGGAGTCCCTTTAAAATTGTTCAAATAACTTATATGTTAATTAAATGTGCCTGTCAGTGTTTGATGTAGGTTTCAACACGTCCATATTAAGTCATTCCGTTCCATTTTATACAGTTTACGTGATAAAATTTGACGTTAAAGCTTAAAGTTTTAAATTCCGACACATTCGGACATATTTCTATAATAAATTATTTAACACAAATATCATCAGATAAAACGTAAATATGATAATTTATATAAATGTGATTATAATATTAACATACGTATCAGAAAAGAAAAGGTTATACCGTTCAACAGCAACTTTGCAGAAACTTTTCCAAACTTTACAATAATCGTCAGCCATAACTTGGTGTTCCGGTCAAAAGATTTTGTAAATGTTTTTTCCAAGAACTGAGAACTGACCTGGTTTTTAATAAAAAAAATTCTAATCATATAATGCCTCTGTGATTTAGTAATATTGTTAACAATAGACTTATTCAAACATGTTTTATTTTGTTTTCATGCCTAATAAACTGATAAATCAATATTCTAAAATTATGAGAAGTTTAAACATATCTATATAAGCTTGATTGTGAAACAAGTTATTGCAACTTATTATAATCAATTTCGAGTCCGCTTCCTGGAACTAGCCAGTACTGGTGTCATATGAAGAAACGGCCGTGGTCCGAGTAGGGTTTGAACCCATAATCCCTGGGTTGAGAGGCAAACACCTTAACTACAAGGCCACCGCTGCCCCAAAAGACAGTTTCGACAAGATATTGCAGGCATTACCTCAGTGCCTCTCTCATTCAGTGTAACAGGAATCACACATTTCCGTTTATGTATACGTATTTCATTTATCTGTTTGAACGTCTGCTTTGTCCGATTTGTCGCTTCAGGATCTTCTTTGAAAAGTCCCAATTCACAGTGACCGCTTCCGTTCAATTCTACAACCACGGTCTGTCCTTGTTCCAGCGGACTCGACGAAGACGCCCATCCGCTAAATTGTTTAGGAGACCATGTTGCAGTTGATGAAGAGTTGGTCAGTGTGATATTCTGTCCGTGCGTTGAGCTGAATTTGACTTTTTCTGTCATAATGGTTTGAAGCTGATGAAATCAAACAAAAATTACATAAAAACGATTAATTCTTTAGAAAAATATCAAGAAGACGTGGTTAATAGATTTTATTTGAAAAATTTTCATGTTTCTGACATGTCATTTGAATACTTAATAATTTAATATATACAATAAACATATTGATTTATACGGAATTCCAAGCATGTGACTGCGTTGTTCGTTTATCGGACGCGGGAAAAACGAAGCGTTCATCGTTCTTTTCATCGCAAACGGACAATTGCATGAATTTTATTAAGGTTTACCGCAATCAAACTTAATGTGATAAATTAATTATGAAAAAATGTATTGAACTGGTCAGAATTAATCCAATTATCTTTTTCGATGATTGTACCTCAAAGATCATGTTAGTACAAAATGATATAGAAATGTTAGCATATCTTGCATAACAATGGCATAATATTTTCTTGAAGGGTTATTAATCTTAAAGAAATGGAACACTAAGATGTGTATGTTTCTAAAAGAACCTCTCGTGTTTCAGTAAGTGAACTCAATTTTCATCATCAACGTCTACGCAGTCGGTAGGCAATTATTTTTATAGATGCTTAATTAGTATGCAAAAATGTATGTAAATCATAATCATTATAACAATTGAACACATCAATAATCATATAATATATTAGTAACTATTATTGAACATCATAAACTGAAGGTATCTGATAAGTTCTGATATAATTCCCGCTAATTTGGACAAAATTTAAAACTAAGATTTGTGTAAAGCAAACATAGTTTGTTCGTACGAAAAAAAAACTGTTCACTAGAAAATGTAATTAGATCTGAATGAAACTTTTGTTAAACAGAGCAATTTTACTACATTTTATTTTAGAGCTATCCTTTACATTTTATTTCATAATTGCTGCAACTATCCTTTACATTTAATTTCAGTATGGCCAATGCGATTTTCAGATTTCACTCTATAATTTTAAAATGACCAATGAAAACACTTCTTATATTCAGTTTTTCTTTGTAAATTTTACATGAAGTGAAACTGATTTTTTACGGTTGCACAAAGGTGACATGTGTGTGTTTTTATTTATCTCGTGCGCAAGAGATACTATGTCGTGGCCACGAGTTACTAAGTCGTGGCCACGAGATAGTTAAGTCATGTGAACGAGATACTATGTCGCGGCCAAGAGTTATTAAGTCGTGGCCACGAGATTCTATGTCGTGACATTAATCAGACATTAATTTTGACTAAGTTATCACCCTTTGTGTGGATAATTCTATTTAGAATTGGTCAGTTTGTACGAACAACGCCCTGTTAATCTTGTTTATACGATAACTTGAGAAGTCCTGGTTTATTTCATTTGGTAGGGACAATACCCATGGACAGTAGATAGCCTATAAGGATGTTTGAAGCCAAGGGTCAAGGTAAACATGACACTTCATGTAAAATCCTTGTCAGATGAATGATTAAGAAGGAATAAGTCATGGTTTATATAACCTAGAAAGATCATTGCACCTGATCAGTAGATCACACCTGTTAATTTTGAGGCCATTAGGTAAAAAATCAGGGTCACAATGACGCTAAATGTAAAATCAATGTAATTCTTGGCCACGACATAGTATCTCGTTCCCACGATTTAACTATCTAGTGGCCACGACTTAGTAACTCGTGGCCACTACTAAGTAACTCGTAGCCCCGAGATAGTATCTCGTGGCCACGACATAGTATCTCGTTCCCACGACTTAACTATCTCGCGGCCACGACTTAGTAACTTGCAAAGCTTGCATACATTTATCAATACCGTCCATGAACTGGTTTTATTTGGCCCTTTTGGGCGTTCTCCTTTTTAACATAGATGCTACGTCATATCGTAATGTGTCCTATCTAATGCACAAATTTTTGGCTGAAAATGTGAGTTGTAAAATGGTTAAAACTATCTCACTACAACGTAGTGAGATCATGTGCAAGGTATAACTTCCTACTATCGGGCTCCATTATATGTTATTATATGTTAAAATCTTTATATTGCATTAAAGAAAACACATCAAACACTATATTTTATTTGCCACGCTTGCCTAAGTGATAAACACCTTTTCTAGTTGATTTACTGTTTTCCAAATTATATTACCAGCCCTCCTTATATATTTTTTTCAACTCGAAAATAGGTTTAAAACAAGGTGATCTGGAAATTGGTATCGATCATAGAAAAATATCGATATGCTCTACACAATCTCTTAACAATATTAAATAACGTAGAACTATCAGAAATTTAAGCTGTTTGATTCCTTGGTATTGCCTATCTTTAATTTCGGATCGGAAATATCCGGGGTATGCACCCGGCTTACGATATTGAGCATGTACTGTTTCATGCAACATGAATATATTAGAGAATGTCAGAATATCATTTTCTGTTTGCCCCAAATACAGAGAACTAAGGCGCCAATTCATGAAGAACTATTATTGTTATTGTTCTAAGCTAACGAAATTTGGAAATCTTGTCTTCTACATCAAATGCAACAATTATAAATGTGTCGAAACTTAAATACTTTGCAACAAAACTACGTGCCTCCTTATCATAATTACATTATTATTTAGATGAAGTACTTTCTATTTAATTAAACAGAGAAACACATCATTATACTATATAGTTATATTTGTTTAAACTTCACACAGCGTCAGCGTATAATATGCTAAATGTTTGTGTTGTCACGTAAAATCCATCGTCGGATACCCACGGCCGAACCATTAACATTTATCAGCCGTGGGATTTTTTGGCGATATTCAGTCGCACCTGTTGCTGTTAATCGACGCAAATCGATTCATTTTACCCACGGTTGATTGCATGTTATGTCAATCGTGGGTATCCGACGATGCGTAAAATCTTATTTTCAAAGAATGTTTAGGAAAAAAGTAATTATATTTGTCTTTACAGTACTCCTGTACTGTAAATTATTTAAACATGCATGTCTATTCATTATCACTGAACTGGTTATTTTGTATTGCTATAAACTTGTTATTTGTTTTATGCCAATAAAATTATTTGAATTGAGTTGAGTTAAATACAACATGTACTTGTTTGTGTACTTTCGTTCGAGGGATTTAAGACGCATGTTATTATTAGCATAGTAACATGCAAACATTCGAACTTTACATGTACAAATTAAAGCGATAGTTATTAGGTTATAACCTTATTTCATTTTTTTCCTTCATATGCGACTCTTTATTCAAAGACTCGCGTGTAGGTATTGTATGATATGATACCATCTTGAATCATTAAAAGTGTGGCATTAAATTACTAACGATTTTTTTGTATTTTGTTTTTACAAAAAAACGTCTAACTTATTTATGAAACGAAACAGGAAACAAAACATTTCTATGCACTTAATATCACTCCATTCTTTTCATGTGCACTTAATATCACTCCATTCTTTTCATGTAGATACATGTCTCAAACCGAAAACGAAAGTACATCTTCAAACATATTTTTTCTAAAGTAAACAAGGTCATAAAATTATTTTAAAAAGGTTCACAAAATAATTAACTAGACGCATATTGTTTGTTTTTATCTATATAGAACTGCAATGAAAAAAACTAGTGTCAACGTCAAAGAAATAAAAAAACGAAAGTTGACTAATGTTTAAAAGACGATATATAGTCTTAAGTGTAGGAAATAATTTAGATAAGACATATGAAAAAATACGTACATATCATTTACTGGCACCAGAGTCCTTAAATAATCATAAAATAAATGAAATCATACCCATATAACACAAACTGCCCGAAATATTATCCAAAAAATATCCCCCCCCCCCCCCGTATATACTGTCATATTATATAATATTCGGAAATGATAACATTATACATAATTATATTTATTTTAACAAAATAGACAAAATATTTACCTCATGCTATTTTCTCAAAAAATGTACTTATATAAAACGATGATTTAAATCAGGGTCTAAATTATATTTGAAAGACCCTGTTTAAATTAATCATACAAAAAAAAAACAAGAGATAATTTACTTCCGCGGTCTCGCAGTACACAGGTAGAAGAGCTTCTCGGGTATTTCCGTCAAGTTCCGGTAGAGTATTAGTCAACAGTGTATCGAATGGATTATAATGCAAATAAACGGAAAATGACTAAGTTTGTATTTGTAATTCAGAATAAAAGACTTCAGCAAAACATCAAGAAAATCCGATTAGATATTATATTATTATATTTTGAGAATTGTCATTTATACGGTATTATAAAAAGCGTTATATTTACGAGTTATCGACAATATGCCAATTTAACAACCCCAGGTGTTATTCGTGCGTGTTTAAGTTTGATTATCCTTGACACCGGTGGGTCTATTATTATTATTTTGAATGAAATATCAGTCGCAACTACTCGGCCCTTTCCGTCAGTCTTCGGATAAGGACCTCATACACAATAGTATGAATACCCAGAACGGATGCGGTATTTCGGTCTAACCTACGCTAAGAAACTAAACATGTAAACAAATAGTTATTTAATGCTGGGAGTTGTTGACAATTTTATTTCCAATATATGCAGTAAAAGTCCACCTAAAATAAGTGAATTCATCGATAAGAAAGCAAACAAAGCATTATTTATATATTTATCATTATGGCTGTAGAAACCGAAAGTACAAAAAAACCAACATGTTGACATTAAGTCGGATTTGTTTAAAATTGAACATCAGTGGGCATATTCAAATTTCAAATTGTTTTCAGACATATTTTCAAGCATAAGAGTACAGGAAAAGACATTAGATGTCAAATTTATACATTCTTTTTACATTATCTAAGTTTCTGTTTACATCTGAAACCACGTGGTAGAACTACTTTCAATACGTATTGTTTCCGAGGTTATTATAGACAATAGCCGAGGCAGTTCCGAACGATGAAATATACACATGATCAGGATCAGAGACGCTTTTGTATTCATAGATATCTAAAAAAATATAAAGTTTATAACGTATTTATATATGAAACCTTAAAATTGGCACTTAAAGCGGGGAATTGGTTATTTTTTGGGGGGCTTTAATGATATGGAGAGAGGTGGGGGGGATGATCCATTCGAATTGGGTTTGATTTGTTTGCAGTTTGAATGTACAATGTCGTGATGTTATATATCAAATGTATTATAATTTGAATACTATTTACAATTGCTGAATAGTGAAATAAATGTAAAACCTCATGTTGTTGTTTTTTTAAATAAAATTTCTTATAAAATTATGTTATCGAATCTTTGGTTTTCTAAATCAATGTCTGACTAACTGGTGGAATGTCCTGATAATGTCCTTTGCTGCTAAATTTCATACAAAAATGGCATACAGACAACACTCAGGCAATACCTACATAACACTTTAGTTCCCGCGTACGGTGCATTATATTTTTTCACAATAATTGATTTAGACTTTCTCAGATGTCAAAAGGCGCATACAAAAGATGTCTGTTTAAGGTATCATTAGACGACTTTTTTCATCCGTAATTTAAATTTAAAACAGCAGGGTGTTAAAGGTTAAATTTTATTACCCCTGTATTACATAATATTACACAATGTGTATTGTACACTTCCTTTGGATTGGCTAGGCGGTAAGTGTCAAACAGATTGACACGCGACCTTGGTTGTTTGTTTCCAGCTCGATTTTGTATAAATATCATTTAACCGGGACGTTTTAGAACCATGATATAGTTAATCACGTACAATTATGAAAATCGTAATTTAAGTAACTTTTATATATACCGATCTCATCAATGTTTATTGATTTGTGAAGTGACAATTAGTGTGACTTGCATTAAAAAATATTAACATGTGTTACGAGGAACCGGATAAAATGAGTGTTATTTCACTTTCCATAAAGATTTTGAAAAAAATAACTATTTAAAATATATTAATGTGACTTAAAATTATCTGTTTTGCATCACAGTCAAATAAAGGATAAAATCAGGTAAACTGAACACTTAAAATACATTATCACCGGGCCTGTTCTGACTATTTTCAGAATGCTAATTAACCTCGATTTCGTATGTTATAAAATTTCTTTAACCTTTTTTATGAACTATTTCAACAACAATTTAGTTGACTCCCTTTTGAATAAAAAAATATAATTCCGCATTTTATTAAAAAAAAATCTCATTGTCAGGTCCGTGACCGTAAGCGGGCCCACCGTAAGGGGGAATTCTTACTAATTTCCTTTTCCATACCCTTTTATGGCAATCTGGGGAAAAAGCTATAAAGGAATATTTTCTATTTTTGTTTAAAGCTATTTTATATAATTTTCTACCTTTTATCTTAAACTAACTCGGAATTGTCTATGAACTTCTACTTTATTTCTATGTTAGACTAATGTTCTATGTTTCTATGTTTTTGCCCTACGCAAATTGCGCATGTGCGGGGAAATACTACTTCTATATAGATCCGGGAATTGACCACTGCCATATCACATTCACAAAAGCCGGGATCGTATTAAAAATATAGAGATCCCGGAAATTGACCACTGCCTTATCACATTCAGAGAAGCCGGGATCGAATCAGATATAGAAATCCTGGAAATTGACCACTGCCTTATCATATTCAGAAAAGCCGGGATCGTATTAGATATGTAAAGATTCGGAAATTGACCACTGCCTTATCACATTCAGAAAAGTTGGGATCGTTTTACAGATAGAGATCCCGGGAATTGACCACTGCCTTATCATATTCAGAAAAGCCGGGATCGTATTAGATACAAATGTATATAGAGATCCAGGGAATTGACCACTGCCTTATCTCTGCCGGATCGTATCAGATAATTATAGAGAAGTCGGGATCGTACAAGATATATAGAGATGACGGGAATTGACCACTGCCATATCACATTCATAAAAGCCGGGATCGTATTAGATATATAAAGATTCGGAAATTGACCACTGCCTTATCACATTCAGAAAAGTTGGGATCGTTTTACAGATAGAGATCCCGGGAATTGACCACTGCCATGTCACATTCAGAGAAGCCGGGATCGTATCAGATATAGAGATCCCAGGAATTGACCCGTCTGCCGTATACGACAAAAGGTAGTTAAACAGTTATGTTAAAAATACGGCAGAAGTAGTTCATCATATATACAGATATATTAATAAACACATGTTTCAGCATATAAAGGTGCATGCCTCCAGGTAAAGTAAACCAAACTATTTCAACAAAATCAAACTTGAGTAAATTATACTAAAATTTTAAGAAAAATTAAAAGCTAAGATTAAAGTCATAATTTACGAGTTATGTGCGATTAAGTATTTTCAAATATCAACTTTTAGCATAATAAATCTTAATGCAATAAATATTGAATCGAATTTAGGTGCTTTTTATTTTTCATTTACTTTGATTGTTTGAATAATCTTGCACATCTAAACTTTCATCAAGTTAAGCTCTGAAAATCCGTGAACATGAGTTACTTTTTCAATGTTATACTAAAAGATTTTTTTATAGTGTGTGTGTGTGTGTGCGTGCGTACGCGCGCGCGTGTGAGTGTATTGGGGGGTGGGGTGACATATAAATCGCCATTTTCTTGAAATAATTAAAAAAACAGTTTGATTGATAGCACTTAGAAAATTGTTTTGATATACATATTTCCGAAAACAGAATTTAAGCATTTAATCTTGCTGCTTGGTTACTTAAACATGCAAGACATAAAGATATTAAATTTTTAACATGGAATATGGAAATAATACAATAATAGTTTTCAAATGCGTTTTATTGCAAATATCTGCAAAATTTAACATTGAAATGAAGTGTATAGATAAAGAATTATGTTGAGTTACATGGATATTGAGCTATTCTTAGCTGTCAGCAATTTATTTGAATACTACCATGAAAGTTATTACAAATCTACTGATACATGCTAATATTTGTCTTAAATTGAATTAAAGCGTCATAGATTTAAGGACTGTTTAAACTATGATGAGAGGTTCATTGACAAGACTTTACAATATCTTGGTGAAAAATGATTTTGAAATTCATAACTGATGATATGAAACGTATTTATGCTCATGTACCCCTCTTAAGTGAAAAGAAAACATATTTAGTTTATACTAATTTATTTTAATTCGATTGTGTTGAAAGCTATAAGCATATTGAAACACTCGAATCTGTTCCTGTACCCAACCAGCACTAAGCAATAAGTGTAAAGTTTCTTGTTCACGGAAACAACGGCTTGTCCCTGACGGGGTTGTAGATTGAATAAATTAAAAAAAAAAAGAAACTTAGTAACGTAAATTCCACAGAGGTAGGTATATTCAGGGATTTTGTTACAAAACTAAAAATGAATCTAAGCTTTTAGCTTTATAAGCCACATTATATGCTTAAACATATTTATACAACTGACTGTATGAAATGTATATATACAAAGTAATTCATAGTAATGATATATTTGAATAATGTATATGCTCTGTTATCTTAAATTCAGGTATAATACTAGACTAAAATAATAGATTTTGTTGAATATACGAGTAAGAAAGCAGATTCTCAAAATTGAAGATTTTATATTATGATATATATTCCATGGTCAACCTACATCGTGTCTCGACTGTTTAGGATATTCATCATCTGAAAAATAGAAAACGAAAATTATATTAGAACTGATAATACCCAGATGACCTGTGGGCCAACCATTTAATTTCTACATCATTTTACTCTTAACATAAAATGATGTTTCTTTGATTTGATATTTTATTGATGACGTAGCAAAAAAGGCACCACATTATGCCTCAGAAATGAATATATGCTTCCTTCTTTGAATAGGACAAACATGAGGTTTTCAATAATTGTCTTAGAAAATGAAAGATGGTAATTTCCTGAAGAAAGTAGCGCTGAATGGGAAGATATTTGTCATAAAAGTAACAAAATGTAAACAAAGCTGTATTGTGGCTCCGTACAAAATACTCACAATCACTATAACCGTACTCACTGCCAGGAAGCAACAGAAAAAGGGGATATTACAGGGCACCAAAATTAAATGATTTATAAATTTGTCTTTGAAAAATAACCAAAAAAAAAAGCATTTTTTTGGGCCTAGTAGGCCTTTAATTTAATTTTAAATAAAGTCAGCTTTGTTAGTATTCTAGTATACTTTCGTCGTTTTTTATACTTTCTTTACATACCCATACATAAACACTATGGGCCACACCATTGACAGATCTTATTTGGTTTTCCGTATATCTTTGAAGATCCGACATGACTCTTGATTTTGTTCGATTGTTCAACTTTTCACTTTCCGCCGTTTTCATTTCACCCAGTGCAGAGCTTTTCTCTGTAAGTCTTTTCAGGCGTCCCTGTACAATTGACCATTCCTAAACACAAATCAGAAATGAACAGGCAGACAACTCTGTATCCTCACTTAATAGAGGAGGTTTTGCATAAGGCATCTTATGCCTTAAAAGCGATAAGCAAATGCACGGTTTCTGGATATATTTTCTGGAACATTTTATTTGGTTTAGGTAAAAGAAATAGAATAGAAAAAAACAACAGATTTTCTAGAGAACGCCCAATCCGGCAAAATTGAAAATGTTGCAGGCTCAGCTGACACAAAAAGAAACAAAAATCCTCTTTATCTAACCATTACTAATATGACATATTTTGGTAAAGTAATTTAGTCATAACTCCGCATAAATACAAAGCAAACATTGAATTTAATGATTGAAAGTTTTTACCCATTCTGTAGCGCCGGAATATCCCAACAACAAAAGCAAAGATCGAAACACATCTACTACTTCTTCAGCTGGATCATGTTGGTCAATCACTTCTTTGTACGATTCTTTTAAGGTCGGAATAAGTCGTGTAAAACTTCTCCAGGCAGTCAGCCTCAGTTCTAACTGTTTTATTTCTTCTATTTCTTTGGTAAGTGAGTTTTTATAACTATAATGACTGACAAGCTCTAGAGTTTTTCTCGTAACACCTAAGTTACTCCGCAATTTACAATCTCGGAGTTCTGAAATATAATATAAATTTTGTTTGTTTGGGTTTTACGTCACACCGACACAGTATAGGTCATTCGGCGACGTTCCAGCTTTACTGGTGGAGGAAGACCTCAGGTGCCCTTCCGTGCATTATTTCAGGCACGAACGGGCACCTGAGTAGAACCACCGACGTTCCGTAAGCTAGCTGGATAGCTTCCTCACATGAAAGAATCCAAAGTCCCTGTTGGGATTCGAACCCACAGCGGTGAGGGGCAAGTGGTTTGAAGTCAATGAATGACATTAACCACTCGGCCACGGACGCCCCGAAATATAATATAATTGTATAATATAAATAATTGGGATTGAACATTGAACGCTGATAGTGTGAACTATGATGAAGAAAGTAGAGTTAAAGAATCACTAAAGAACGCCAGAACGGTAAAATTTAAATGCTGCAGGCGTGGTTTGATCTAGCCTGTTCACGGACAGTACTGAAAAGTGGAAGCTACCGTCATCGTCATTAGCAACGGCTTTTAAAGCGGGCTTTAGTAAGAGATGTTACACTTTCATAAACATGATCGAAAACGAGACGAGGGAAGCATGTAAATAAGGGTTTATTGAAGATGCAAATTTAAATATGTACCAACAATATAGTTAAACATTACCTAAAGAAATATCTAATTTGCAGGTTTTTAGAAGCAATTATAATTCTTACTGTCTTTGCATCTCAAAAAGTCTAGAACTGTTTTTGCTGCAACAATGTCTTCATCGTTGGCAGGTATCTTCTCTTTGAGGCACCTTTCTATGGCATGTTCAGCATTACTTATCTTCGCCTTCCATTGTTGTGGATCAACATTTTCAGTTATGCGCTCTTCTAATTTCTTTTTTGCATTTCGTTCATTTGCCTCGATAAATAAAATGCAAAATAAATATCTTTATATCATAAAATCAATATCTAGACTTGTTAGGCTATACGCGCAGATCTTAGCAAACTAAATTACATTCCTTTGCTGAATGTTATATGTGTATAAAAATCTAAAAAGTAGCCGTCAACATTTTTTAAGCAAATATTTAAGCTGGTAGAAATATAAACTTATATTTATCAATAATATCTATTTCAGGTCATGGCGATATGCAATAAAACTTTACCCTATTTATTATCACTACTTTACTACTTATACTCCATTCTTCATTGTTTCCTATTATCCTATTATTGTGCATTAATAACAGCTTGCTTATATGTCATTAATTTGGTATAGCTTATAGAACCCAAAGCTACAATAAAAATACACATATCGTAACTTATGCCTAAAATTTGTTTTTCCTTTATCTTTTATCATAAATTTCTTTTAAGATTTCAATTGGAAGGACAGGAAATAATACGATTTTATCGTTTGTTTTTAAAGTTTACGGACATTGTGATAGGGCTGTTATGACTTAGTCTGGAGTTTTCTTTAAAAACCAAATACAATATGTTACTAAAAATATAATTAAGCCGATGTTTTGTTTCGGGCGTGGTCGTTAGCTTGCACTTCCAATACTCTCCATGAACAGGCTAAATCAAACCGAGTCATACGCATTTTCAATTTTGCCGTTTTGCGACTTTATTTAAGGATTTGATTTTAATTTTATATCACAACACCAATTTCAAAATGTTATTCGTTAGAAATATATGAGATAGTTAAACGCATGAGATATGCGTTTTTCTTTTAATCGGTTTTAAACTGTGTGAGCAAGTGATCATTTTGCCCGAACAGCATAAATTACGTGACAATACCTTCATTCCCTTTGACACGAAAGTTGACAATAAATAGTTGCAAACACTTCTTTCCGGTTGTTCTTTTAGATGAATAGACAATCCAAACTCTCCCTCTGTTGGTATAGAAGCGGCTACCTGCAGCTGATGAAATTCTTTCGACTTTATTTCCACGAGTACATCAAATGTTTTGCTTTGACCTCCAACCTCTCCATGGATAGAGGCAGTGAACATCTTCTTCAAATCTTGAAGGTGAAACTTTATTGTAGTTTTCTTTTCTGATTTACTGACTGGGATTAGTCCGCTGATTCTTGTAGGCGTAATCAGGCCTGCTTCGACGGATACAGGACCAGGGCCCCAACCGATCTTGCTACATTCTAATGGTAACAGTGCGCGGTTTGCCTCCAAACCCTTGTGGCAAATGATTTTAAACTCACACAAGCGGAGACGGGGGCATTTATAAGGACCTCCGTATATAACAATCTTATATGTGCCTGGGGTCGGAAACCTTATTTCAAAATCAAATATTTCTTTTGCTCTAGAATTAAAAACCATACGAGCCATGTTGCTTTCCTTTTGGCATCCATTTTCAGAACCGTTATCTTGGTCTTTCAAAAACAGCTCGTAGCTCAGCATAATCATATGAGCATTCGCTGGTTTCCTTTTCAGTTTTATGTTACAAAATCCATCCTTACATTCAAGAACGCATTTTGACTCAGTCTTGCTATCATTTATAAGTTCAAACCCGATTCCAAAGAAAGGAGGAAGAAGATATGGCATTTCTATGAAACGTGTTTTAGAAATCACATTGCTTGCAAGCTGCCACTGTAAATCTTTTGCAGCGCATTCGTAAATAAATTCCTCCGGATCGGGCATAAAGTACCTTTCTTGAAAAGTATTCCTCACTACTCCTTCAGATACCCTCTCCCGTTGAATTATACTTTTGCCATCCTCTTCAACTTTGACCCAACCGCCAAGATTATGCCCGTATAATGCGCGACAAATCCAAAAAGGATGGACAAGCTGCCAGCCACATTCAACATGTACCGCAGTCCATGATGCTTCTGGTACAATTGTATTTCCTGGTTCATAACCGGCCGCCTTGACATATCCTTTGATGACTGCACATTGCAAGCCAGCCTTCCTATAAAACATAAAATAATAGTTACATGTATATTTGTTGTTAATTGTCCTTGTTTAGCGGGTTGTTTAAATCTAACGACAAACACATCGTTAACATAGAGAAATTAGATAGATATATTCTTTTATCATCTAGATAAGTATATACAGTATATTATGAATGATTACACACCTACAAAGTATGGCATAACATGTTGTATACGTCATCCTGTGTTCCTTTAGGTATTGAATAAGACCACGTGGTGTGTCAGTTGTTGCTACGCCATAGTCCGCACTCACATCTTGCTGACTGCTCATCCATACAACTATAGCTCTAGCAATTTTTATCTTTCTATTCCCGTCACCATCAAATGGATTCTTCAGATATTGAAGGAGATTATCGAAAGAATGAAGAAGCGTCGAACTTGCCTAAGGTAGAGCAGTGTTCAAAATAAAGAATAAATAGAAAGTCATGCATTTAAACATGTAGCTGCATTCAATCTTGCAGGAACTTAAAAAAATTATATGACGACTTCGTGTAAGTCAGCTTATGTCACACACATTTAAGAAGACTATGTACGTTTTAAATTATTCTGCTTGCTCTTTAAAACGTAGGTTTGAAGAGAAAAGTTTGCTTTTTATAACATTTGAATTTTTGTTTAGGATAATAAACGATATAACTGCAATTAATAGTAGTTGTTTTGTGAATGATGTATGCATGGGACAGTGGAAAAATTTAAACACATTACTTGTTTTGCATGTTTATCAACGTCATCAAATGCAAGTTTTGGTTTTGCACTCCTGGTTGGGTTTGAAATGAAGCTGGTTGTGTCAGACATAGTGTCCAAATTAATATTTTCATCGTCGACAGTTATTTCTGTTTGAAACAAATCTGCATCGTCGCTTGCATTATTGAAATCGTCATCCTCAAACCAATTATGCTTTTGTTTTACACTTCCATCCACCTGATCCCCTGGTACTGGGTCATGGTAGCCATCTTCCGTGGCAACTATTTCTTTCTGAAGGAAATTGTAATTGAAGACAGAATTAGTAAAATTATGTTCTTTCCTCTTCGGCATTTTTTCTAGAAAATGTTAAACAAATAAGCGATCGAAGAAAAATGTAACACGTCATGGGCGAGAAATTGGACAGAAATGGAAACCTAAACTTATTGGTAAATTTAGCGAATCAAGTAGAAAATGTTCGAAACAGACATTGGTATCTCCAAGATTTGTTAGCATAAAATATATAGAAAGGTATTTTCTAAATGTAGTGTTTGAACTGATAAAAGAAGAAAAGTTAAATAAAATTTTGAATGAAAAGGTTTACATATCATTGTGTTATTACCCTTGGGATACCTGAGATATGCTAATTAACTATTGTTTTTTACTTGACAATGTACTATTGTTGATACAAAAAGCAACATGTCGTATCTCAACATCAAGCTTGTGTCCCGTGATTTCAATAAAATGCCCGATGAAGATGTGTTTTTATCACGCTATTTATTTAGAAATACCTACCTCGTCATTTGCATTGTCTATCTTTATATCAATACAATCCGATGCGAAATCAGCCGTAGATTCTCTTGGTGGTGGTGTGGGTGGCGGTGGTGTCGGTGACCGTGGCGGTGGTGTTGGTGATCGTGGCGGTGGTGTTGGTGATCGTGGTGGTGGTGTTGGTGTACGTGGCAGTGGTGTCTTTGATCGTGGTACTATAACTTTAGATGTTCTAGATGATATACACCCCATTGTTACTTCACTTGGAGAAACCGCTAAGTACGACAAATGGAAGTAAACTCATTCTCAAACCTTCATGTTTTCTGCTTTAAATTACATAATCAGAAAACATAAAAAGTTTAGAATAAAACGTTGCAACATTAACATGATAATGTAGCCTATATTCCGAGATGCGTTAGTTAATAAGGCGCTTATGAGCTCATCATATACTGGCTTACATGCTTCTGTAGGCATCATAACTCTAACAACACATGGAAGAACGATACGGATTAAAATAAAACAAAAATTTCTAAACTCATTACTGTATAAAGCAATAAACATTACAAACACAGAGCAATACACAGTTTCATGCTAGAACAATAAATGTAACACATCCATTGTGAACGATATACAATACACATTAAAAGGATAGAGCAATAAATAAACGTTGCACATATAGAGCATTAATCAAATAAATTGTAAATCAATAAACATTTCACACATGGAACAAATCACGTTACTGCATAAAAAGAGCAATAAATGTTAAACAAATAAAACAATAAGCAATACAAACATTTAAACATAACGTAAAAATATAACATACGTTGAGAAATACATGTTATGTGTGTAGAACAATAAACATATCAAACGTATATATATAGAGCAATAAACATTAAAAATAAAGCAATGCACACTTTATATTAATAGCTATAAACATTACATATATAGAACAATAAACACTATACACGTATTGCACTAGACAATACATGACGTAAAACATTATAAATATAAATCAATTCCTTTACCCATATAGAAAATCTTATGCTGCATAATGAGAATATAAAACAACTTTAACAGGATATCATAAATTAAAAAATAAGAAAAATAAACGTTTCAGACAAAGAGCAAAAGACGTAACATAAACATAGACCAATAAATGTCACAAAAGTATTGAAGAAAGGCAGAAGATTTGAAAAAAAATGTTATGGCGTAACATAAACGAAGACCAGGACTTGTACCTGTTAACCAGCTATCGATGTCCTTACTGTAGCCGAAGGGAGTAGCCCTACAAAGTAGGTAGGATCGGGAAGACGTAGAAGGGTACTAGGTTGCGTGAGCCACAAGTACGCAGTGACTGCTTGAAAGGCATGCCATTTGCTTGGCACTATCAGCCCTTATCAGGACTACCTGGTTTTCATATTTCTCAGGTTACTGTACGTTTATCTTCTCATTCATTGCTGTATATTGACCTACTTTCGGCGCTAATTCTCCTTTGAAAGATCATGGAGGTAAATTATCACCACTTTGTGCTTCAAAATCAACTTTTTAAGGGCATGACTTATAAAATGCCCGGGGTCCTTACATTCATTTCGCGGATGAACCTCCATTAAGTATGTACAAACTACATCCACACATCGCACTAAACATATAACTATTGACAAATATACATGTATGGACATTACATATAGAACCATAAATGTTAGTTACAAAGGCAGATTTTTAGAAACATAATACATTGTAATCAGGAAGCATTAAACGTGTCATTAGAAATCAATCAAGTTAACGCTTAAACGAAGTTTAAGGGGAAACATAAACAACATCATCATTTAATCTAGATAAGGCATATATCATAAAAGTCATTTTACATCCACTTTGATTAGTTATAAATTTTCTGTCATACATATCGCCAGTTTATAAACAAACAAATAAGTACACGAGAAAGTACATGGGGCATAGTTCATGATTATAAATTACAAAATGTCACTATATATGGTGTGTATTTGTCACAATTGTCTGTAAAATCATACAGACATTTACAAAAGTTTTAGAATTTCATTTAAATCGCATTTCAATAGATGATACCTCTAGTTTCATTATATATTTACTTTCATTATATATTTACCTTCCTTTATCAATTCTTTGTCTGTATTCTGTAATACGGAAATTTGTTTCTTTTTTCTCTAAATTGTAACTAAGAATATGCCATAAGGAGTCAGCTAGATGGAGTCTTCAATTTGGTATATCTCATAAAGTGTTGTCTTTTTTTTTTTTTAAAAAATCATTGAAAAAGAAAAGCATATTGAATTTTTATATTAAACGTTGCCTGTATATTGATTGAAATATAAATTTAATTCTATTACAGTCTTGCCTGAAAAGGTTTATCAAAAACCTAATAAAAAATAAGACCAACCTTTTCCATCAAGCATTCATTGCTGCCCTGTCTCTTCTAACTCTACTGCACCGTTTTCGTTTTAACGTCTGAATAAAAATATATAAACCTCTCATTGATTATCTACACTTTATAAACTATATTGATTGAATTTCATTATTCTTTGAAAGAACTAGGATGTAAATTGACCGAAGTGTTTAAGTATATGTTTACAAAAATCTCCCATATCATTTGTTATGTAAAATTTAAAAATCTTATTAAAAGGCGCTATAAAAAATTGACGAGGAAGAAGACATGCATTTGGCATTCCAAACATATTTAATATGCTATCATTATCAATGTAAAAATGCCTTTTTTAAATCATCTTGATTATCTTACTAGCTTATATGCTACATAAAATTGACCTGGTAAATTAATTCATTTTATAATGAAATGTTTTCAATATATATTAAAGCACTCAATTAAACATTATGAATAATATCTCGGAAACGATAAGGGCTAGAAATATATAGTTATATCATATGTTTTTATGTAAAAAAAGTCCAGATTGTTCTTTGAATTATTAGTAACTGATGTATTTATTTGAAAGCCGGGAACATATGGTGAATTTCAATTAAATTGTAATTTAGATCCAACAACCAAAATAAATTTATGACATTCTTAATATTTCAGTTTAATTAATCACGAGCAAAACACTCTGATCTCAGGCTCTAAATAGGTTGTTTCGAAACAAAATGGTTAATTCTTGATCATTAATGGCCCTAGTTCAATAAAATACTAAGGTTTGTACATGTATTCACTTATAATCAGAATTGCCCCGAATGTGTATAGATAGTTATTCTTAACTGACATTATAATCTAGAGATGAGTTGTTCATTTAAAATATGAAAACTTAGATCAACCTGGAAGGGCGGCATTCAATGAACAAATCCCCCAACACAGGATCATTGGAAAGAAGCCCAGCATGACACCAAACAGGGCAGAGAAAAAATAGAAATCAATTAAAAGACAAACAAAATGACAAGGATGCAAGGGAAGGGCTAGAAGAATATTTGTTTATTTTAAGCAAAAAAAGAAAAAGCAAAGATAGGACGGGGGTTTTGGATTGGCAAGTGGCACGAAGTCAGCGACTTTAACCAACTTGCAATACAGGCCATTAATATTAATATCGTTTCCTATATGTTCTTAGTAAATGTTTATAATTTAATCCTTGGACTGCGATAGAAAAACATGTTTTTTGTGATATTTGTGAAGGTAATCAGTCACACCGACTGTAATAAATAAGAACAATTTTAACTGAATTTAATTAAGAACAAGTTTAACCTTGTTAAATGATCCAGAAACCATATTTGCACTTTTCAATACATGTGTTGGTGCCACCTTTATTGATTAACTCAGAAATAAAAACCTAAACAAAAACAAATCTATCAAAATACACGAAGCAGAATTGGAATTCATTAGTTCATTGTGACTTTTGATCTTTGTACACAATGAAAATGTTTATCAGGCATGGGTGATATCTTGGTCCCGTATCTCATTTCAATCATTACAATACCATGTAAGACTCTGCTTTTCAGTGAATTGATATCTAATCCTTTACGTTTTGTTTATTTGACTTGCTGAAAGTGTATTTTCCAATTATTGGTTGTGTCTATTTAAAACTTTGATAAAAAAAATTAAGTTAAATTTTGAATAAAATGTATAGTTGTTATATGCGATTAATTGAATGAAAGTAAAAGGGGATATAACCAAACAAGGAACTTAAGGTACTCGAGTTTCATTTTCTAAAATCTAATTTCAAGCCAGAACATTCAAGTTTATGTGCATAATCAATATAAATGGCTTTATTTATTAATTTCTTAGCTGTTTTTATCTGAAAAATCGATTGGGAATAAACAATATTGAACGTAAGTTTGGAGATGTTAAATAATTTGATATATACGCTTATGTATCTGTTCATTTAATGCCATTCTCTCTCTTAAATGTAGAATTCAATATTGTTTGAAAAATTGGGGACAGTTTGTAATTTTCATGTTAGACAACACAAATCAAGACCAAAGGGGAATGAAGAATATAAGCTATTCACCATTTGTTCAATGCTGTTAAGGAACTATTGCTAAAGCACCATGGGTAATTGTCCTGGCTTGATTAAAAAAGTACCACAATGCAATGATCCAGTACCTGAACCAAGCCCGCCAAAGACGGAAGAGACGTCTGCTCGTGTTAACAAAGTTATAGACACAAGAACAGATGAGGTAAGAATTTTACCCAGATTGCGAGTGCATGAAATGCCAAGTGTGTTATTATTATAAGTGTTTATCTAAATGTTATCTTTGTCTGAAAACTTAAAATGTATTTATCAATGCTTTGTAGATCTATCCGACTAAAATCATAATTTTACTAACTTGAACTATTATAATGTTAACTTTTATTTGTAATTTACTTAAATAACAGTTCTTCTAAAAATTTCTTAGTATCATTTTTAGGATTCTATGAAAGTCTATGACTCCGTTTTAGGGTAGATAAGCATCAAGACAAAATAATTTCGGCTTAACCATTATTGAAATGAGATACAAAAAGTCATTTTTTATATTCAATGTGTATATACATTTCCGGTATTACTTTTATCAGAATAAGATACAAGAAAAGATTCAAGGGTATCCAAATCCAAGACCTTCAGATCATTCAAATGGTCATGCTCACAGGCGACACCACTGGTTTAACGATGACAAATTTAACAATGCAAGTGATGATGCCGATCTGTTCACAACAGAAATCGCAGTAGACGACGATGATATCGATTTAGAAACAATGTCCGACGAAATATCTGATGTAAAACCAAGGCGTCATCCACCAACTTCGAATGTTAAACCGACACTATCGTATGAAGAAATCGATGAACATGCCAAAAAGGTATATAAAGCATACTAATGCATTTGCTACCCTCTTTTAAGTTACAAATTATTCCTTAACATATCGTTCATAATTTATGGTTAGTTTAGCCGATAAGGTACCAGCTTCAAATACGTACTATTAAAAACTAAGAGCAAATTGATATATAACAAAATTTATGTTCTAAATAATAACAAAACAATTATTTCACGTGAAAATACTTGGTTCTACATTGATCATATAATATACACATAGTTTATTACTTTAAAATGAGCTGCAATTTGCACCAGTATATTGGAAACTCTGAAATAAAATACTCATAAAAATCTATCTTTCAGTAAAAGCTCTTTGATTAGTTCAAAACAAAGTAGATTTCTCTAATGTTTCATCTTTTGTGCAGGCCAGCTCAGTATTATTGGATTCGTTTGAAGAGTTTGTGAAGTATCTCACGGAACCTTTAAAAGAAGACAAATACTCTAAGGCTAAAACAGCGAGAGCTATCGTTATATGGCTAAGTCAACAGAAAATAGAAGGCGTAAAATATGGGGAAAAGAGTCTCGACACACCACGTGGTCTACTTCAGTACCTTAAGGAAGAAAAAAATGACATATACAACGTGCTATACAATATTATGCAGGTATGCTTAACTATGCTATCAAGCTCTTATATTCGTAAATATAGTATTTGGACTTTTCTAATATGATACCCTGTTTTGAAGAGTGTACACAAAAAAGTACCTGGATATTAATTTCTATAGCATGCAATGTGTGCATTATTTAATTCTGGAAACAAAGTGATCCCTCGGAAGCATTAATCACAACAAAATAACATAAGAATTGCAGACTCGGTTTGATTGAGTCTGTACATGAGGGATAATGAATAAGTGCAACATCCCTCACGCTGCCACACGGCACTTAAGGTTTACACATGTATAAATCTATTGTTGTTGGTGTTTTTCTTCTTGATGTTTGTCGTATCATATGCCCACTTTCAGAGTTAAAGCGCAATACTAGTTATAATGATAATGATGATAATAATAATAGTAATAATAATAATGATTATAATAATAATAATAATAATAATAATAATACTAATAATAATTTTAATAATAATGATAATAATAATAATAATAATAATAATAATAATAATAATAATAATAATAGTTATAATAATAATGATAATAATAATAATAATAATAATAATAATAATAATAATAATAATAATAATAATAATAATATATTTGATTTATATTTACTTCAGTGTTAGAAATATCTGAACATAAAGATGAATGCCAAAATGAGAAACGTTTTCATTTTGTTTCTTTTTTCAGAAAAGCAGGCTTACAATGTATTACCATCAAAGGACATGTTAAAGCTGCTAGTTATGAGCCAGGGGACACTACTGTGCCGGAGACAACATGGTGTGCTGTATACGTGGAAATGGGATGGCAAATCGTGCACCCATTTTGGGTATGTCGGGCTCTATTTGGTCACAAGCTTGGTGGATGGATAAAAGTTGAAAAAGATGGTAAAACAATGCGTCAAACAGAAAAGGCATCACATGGTGTGGCAAGAAATACATTTACTGATCGATATTTTATGCCAAATCCTGAGGAATTTATTTACGAATGCTGTGCTATAGAAAAAGACTGGCAGCTTGTTTCCCCGCAGTCATGTGTATCATCCGTCGACGAGTTTATACAAAAAGCATATCTCTTCCCGCCATTTTTTGGTGTCGGATTTACGCTTGTTAGTGACCCAAAGTGTGTATTGCATAGCAAAGAAGGGTTTTGTAAAGTTGAAATGAAGGCAAGGACAGCAAATGCTCATATGATTGTACTTAAATACGAACTCTTCCAAAAGGAAATAGATTCTGATTCCTATTCAATATTTAACACGGAAGGCAATGTTGCAAGAATGGTCTTTAATTCAAGAGCTGCTGAAATGTTTACTTTTGATATAAGGTTTCCAGAAACCGGTGTGTATAAACTGGTAATATACGGAGGTCCGTATAAATCTGCTGCGCTACGTCTCTGCGAATTCAAGCTTATATGTGATCAAGAGATGAAGGACCGCAACCTTCTTCCAATAGAATGTGATGAGATAGGATGGGGTCCAGGTCCGGTCTCGGTAGAAGCCGGTCTTCTCATGCCCTCTAAACCAAGTGGCTTAATTCCTGTGAACGAAAATGACAGAAAAACTGAAGTAAAATTTCAACTGCGTGACATGAAGGAACAGTACACTGCGGTCGTACACGGTGAGGTTGACGGGCGTAGAAAACAGTTGGAGGATGAAAACATAGAAATAAAGAAAAATAAACACCTACACCAGATTATTATAATTATAAATATTCCCGGAAAAGGCGAGTATGGCCTTTCTATACAACACAAAGAATCAAGGTCTCGCGACAAGCAAGGGAAGAATGTCTGTAACTATCTTGTCTCCACATTAGCATACAAACCAGAACGCGTAAGTAAATTCTCTGTAAAAATAACACCGATATATCATTAATTATCAAAAAAAATTAAAGCATACACAATATGACATTAATTGCTGTAAAATGAAAATAATGCATGACATAAAAAACTAAACAGTGGAACAGATTAAATAATTCTATAAAAAAGCTTTCAGAAACACATGCATATAAGTATACCCATTAAAATCATCCAACCTTTATTGCAATATTCAGTTATTTATCAAAAGAAGAGATTTCAAACATGTCTATTGTTTAATTTTTAAGGCAAATGTCAAAAATGCTAAGCAAAAGTTAAAAGATGCGGTAGCAGCAAATATGGAACCTAGAAGATGGAAGGAACAGATAGACGAAATACTAAAATGTATTGAACGGTGTAAAAAGGAGAAGGTCCCGGATACAGATGATGAAATTATTGCTGCCACAGCAATGGTATGGTTCCTAACGTGTAAAGACCGTAAGTCCAAAGCATGCTTTCCTACTCTATTCATCTGCCAATTTTGAGCTTTTCAATGTTGATATCAAGTTAACAATACCACAATTCCAATGATCTGCATCCGACAGCGTATGTTTGATCAGATAGTATATAGGTCCACACAGTCTTTCATGTTACATTAAACGTACAAACAACTCTGTTGACACTATTAAATGCACATCATGTAGTCTAATTATGTATCATATTTTTATAGTTAAACTATCGGCCTATTTCAAATAATTCATTGCACTAATACTAAATTTTGTAACAAAAAATAAATGTTTCGCACATGCTTAGAAATGCTCATAGATGGTAGAAAATTGTTTTTACAAAATAGAGTAAGATATAACTTCAAGTTAAAAAGGATCAACACATATATATTTCTGTGAAGTAAATGTGAAAAAGTTACTTTAATACAAATATGTTCACGCGATTGAGTTACATTTGTTTACATACTAGAAAAATCAATTATTATCTTTCCACGTGGACTCATAACATGTTGTTTTTATCATTTCCGTTCCATTTTTGTTTGTTGTTGTTGATATTGTTGTTTTCTGAATGTTTTTATTGTGTATTGCAGGGTTACGAGACTGTATTTTAAGGAGAAACTTGCACGTAATCCGGAAAACGCTGTTGATAGTCAGTCAGTACAAAAATCAGGATGCATTAACGAAGGAAATTAAAGGAGTAAAAGAATTAGAAGAAGACATTGTTGCATTAAGAGGTTTTGCAAGACAAGTTCCAAAACTGGAGGAAGCCAATAAAGAAATCGTTGCATTGAAACATGCTCCTTATGAAGTTCACAATACCTTCAAGGCGCTTCTTGTGTTGCTAGGTGACACTGAGCAAAATTTAGAGGTGAACTTGTTTTAAACTACTTAAAAACCCATGCAATGTAAAGAATACGCGTACAAATATTTTGTATTTGTGTAAATGGTGCCATGGCGACTTTGCAGCTTTATAGTTGGAAGACGACCTCAAGTGTCCCACTGGGTGCATTAATTTTGTCTTGGCCGGGCATCTGAGTAGATTAAATGACGTTCTATATTGGAAAATATGACAAGGATAATAATAATAATAATAATAATGATAATAATGATAATAATAATAATAATAATAATAATAATAATGATAATAATGATAATAATAATAATAATAATAATAATAATGTTAACTATAATAATAATACTAAAATAATAATAATAATAATAATAATAATCAAAATGATAATAATAATAACAAATATATACATTGTAGAACTGGCCTGATATACAATCTAAGATGAAGGCTTCAACGCATACTGCAGAAACATCTGTCTTAGGTAAAATGAGACGTATTCAAAGACAGGAAATAAGCCAAGATAGATTGGAAAAGGCTGTAAATATACTCCACCGATTTAAGGAAGACGACGTCAGGAAAGTGAACGGCGATGCGCACAGCTTTTATATATGGGTAAGCACTATATAAGCCTTGTTTAATTGTATTCATTCATAATGAAATAAGAATCTAGCATTGCAAAGTATGGTTTGTCCCTTATATTTTTAAGTGGGACATTTATTTTTAAGTTAATGTACATGTAGTATATAGATGATATTCAACTTTTTTCTATAAATACAGGATCTATTTTCATCGATATGAAAATAAATATTTCATGAGTGGTGGCAGCCTCGAGAAATCCCTTATTTATAGAAAAAAACTTGAATTCTCTGTTTATTATACGCTTTTTATATTCAATGACTTTAAATTTGAAATATTTCTCCTTTAATTTCATGAATTGGCAGAATTTACATGAAAATAGTCCGGTAAGACATCAGTGAAATATGGCAAATGAAATGAAAAATAACTACGCATTTTATTTCATCAATATTTCAAAATATTTCATTTTTAAGTATATAATAAATGATTTTCCTTTACATTTCTGATATGTATTCCTTTATATTGTGCAATTTTTAATTAACAGTACAGTCACATGTAAAATGTTCACATAAACTAAGCGTGTGAGAGATAGTGCACGTTTTTTCCTTTGTCATAAACTGCCTTACTGCCTCGATAAAACCGAGTCTTATTTTCTAACTTTTTTTTGGCATACCTCTTATAAGAGGTCTTCCTTCCATTTTAACATTATGTTAAAAATACGCATATTGTGTTTTTTTTAACGAAAGTATAATTATGTACCTTCAATTGTATTCAGATGTGTTTTGATTGTATTTATTTTCAGATTGAAAACGTGATAAATGTACATGACATAAAGCAGCAAGATTCACAAACACCTGAAAATGCTTAGACTGCAAGATACAACTTCATATACTATTTCATTACGCTTACCTTTTCCTGTTCTCTCACAGGTATATTCTGTCTAAGACAGAACCATTGCCGCTGGAATAGTTTGTGTACATTTTCAAAGACAGTCACAAGTATTTCACTGTACTGAGGGAGAAAGATTATGTTTTTATATTAATTCATTACATACGATAATTAACAGTCCGCACCATTCATGTTTTGATGGTTTTAATATCGAATGTTAAAAATTAGTTCTTATGACTTGGAATAAATAATTATACATATCAAAGAAATCACATGTACACATTTCATTTTATACATGTGATAATGACGCCATTTACAAAGTAACTTGATAAAAACTAAGACAATGAGTTTATAATTTAGGGTCACTATCGTGAGTATGACCCAAAGTCATAAAAGTATGTAATCACATTAAAAATATGCCATTTGAGTATAAAATGATCATACCACAAAGATCTGAAAGATTCCTTTGGGATATAAAATTCGGCGATATACACTTTCGAATTATAATTAATGCGTGATTCAAACAAAATCAGACGATTCCTCATTTTTTTGTTGTGTATGTATATGTACATTTTCACAAAACATTCTTAAACTGTATAAAAAGGTGACATCGGTATTCATTTTGTAAATGGTTCATGTATTAAAATGATATTGAAACTATTATTATATATTATTTGTAACAATTAACATTAAATAAAAACAAAAATACAACAAAAAACAACAAGAAGAAGAACTTAACCCGAACAACAACGCCAAAGACACTCGAGCAAATAAACAAAATAACAAAGATACAGTCATAATTCTTAAACTAATTTGGACAATCCATATGGACACCGTACCAATGAATTGCTTATTTTTTAGCAACATATTGGAGAATGTAGTTTTGATTTGTTTTTGTGTTTAATGGGTTTTACGAATAAGCACTAAATATCCGTGAAATGTTATTTAGGTACGAATATTATTGTTGATATAATTTTAATAAGATATGAGATAGACCATTTTCAGATTCTTTGGTTGGTAATGGACAATAAAAACAACGTATCAACTAAATAAATGTGTGCTTTACAGAACAAAATATTCACTCTTCCTCTTGTCTGTACTTGATTAACCTATTGATTGAATCCCAAATATTTGGAAATTGAAAGATTTTAACACCCATTAGATCTAACTTATGTGATAAATCACTGATTAAAGGTGTACATTGCATTCATGAAGTGAGAGATTTAAAACACAAACATAAAAATCATTTATAAGGGATTGAAAACATTTGTTAAGCTAGAACGGTTATCTTTGTATTTGTGTCAGCTTTAACACAATTATGTCTTTACTTCCGTGTTATATTCATTCATGTGACAAACATTGACATATAATATGGCTGAAAGCTCTATTGTTTAATAAAATGAATGTGATTTATAAACTAATACTTTTTAATCACCGGTTCATTTAACAGATCGTTTTTATCAGAAGACAAATCTTTATTCTGACTTCCTCTTTGAAATTTGTCATACAAATCCCAGACAAATTTTAGTTATATGTTCACGTTTAAAAAATTAAAAAAAATGTATTAAGAAGAGGTGATTTATAATTTTTGGACACTTGTATAAGAATGTATACATCTTTCATACAAGCAAGTGAGTCAACATTCGCACTTCAATGATTTTTTCTGCACTTATTTCTAAAAAGCACATTTAAGTATCATAAATAATAGCACTTAAAATCGCAATTACACGACCGTTACCAAACCAGTCATTTCATTTTACGTAACCCGCTAATTTGATCGGTTGTCATGAGTGATTGTATTACTGGATTTCTGTTTAAAAGGTTGTTAGCGATAAGTGATTGATCGTAGATAGAATCACTTTAAATACCGGTCAAAACGGAAGATATGTTTCTATCAGTGGTAACTATCCATCGGGGACAACACATGTAGACGGGTTGTCAATCGGTATTTGTAAAATATATTCACCTATAAAATTTTTTAAACATGTTATCTTTCAGGTGACAAATCGGTAAATACAAACATTGTCATCGATTCATTACATTTTTTTGGCAGGGAGGGGGGGGGGGGCATGGGCATAAAATACTACCGACCAAACACCAATGGCTATAAGTAGCTTGAACCAGTTACACAGACGGTCGGTTTCAAATTGGTCATTTACATTTACAGCTATTCATTGTTTTTTATCGTTGTCATGCGTAAATCTATTTCTGGTTTTCTGTTTATACGAACGTCGTGATGGAAATATGTTTATCAGTAAAAATAACGGTTGTTGGTAGTTGATGAAGTCACAAAATGATACTGTTCATGGATCAGCATCAGACGATCGATTTAATAATAAGCAACGCCCTACATCATCTATCAAACGCCGACAAGGAACCGATTGATAAATCACGATATCAGACCTGTTCCCGATCAAAACCGTCAGGTAACCGATCAGCAGCCGTAGAATACAAATTAAGCAACAAACTTTACAAATTTTATTAATCAATCGATGACAGGTTAGCGATATTGAATGATCACATATAGACCGGTACCGTTGGTCTAGTGGTTAAGGCGTCCGCCATCGGATCGGTTGGTCGAAGGTTCGATGATGAATTCTGTTTTTTTATATAATTTCATCTTTCTTCCATTGTTGTATTGCTTGATCGCTTGCTTATTAGTGACCCATCGGTGAAGTCGGTTGAAGACATGTTTATTTGTAAACATTTTCACAGATCGACAATTTCAAATATTTTAATCGGTATTTTTACAGACAAAATTTATCTTTCCCAAATAACAGTTTAAAGGATAAAATCATGTGACCAATATTTCTCTGTTAAATGCGTTGTAATCGGTTCACTCCAAAATTGGGTTAAAGAAACTACTGTAAACTCACCGATTTCTCTGTGTAACTGGTGTGTTAAATACTGCATTTTTTAATGGATTACGAAATGTAAAAATGAGCTATATATTTTAATGAGGTTTTGACATCGCACCAACACAGTAAATGCCACATGGAAACTTTCGAGCTTGACTGGTGGATGAAGAACTCTTGTTCTTTTCCGTGCAGTATTTCATGCACATTGGGAGAATAACCGACGTTCCGTAAGCTTCTTGTATAGCTTCCACACATGAAAGGTTCAAAATTTCTGGCGGGGTTCAGACCCACAGTAGTTAGGGGCATACAGCAGTAAAGGGCCTTGTAATACTGCATTTTAGGTTGCGAAAAAAACACTTGAAGTCCGTTTGTCAATAGCAACTGCTTGCAAGGAAAGTAAACATTATGTTTAGAAATTTTAGCATGTTGAAACATAGACCTAAAACATGATTATTCAATTGGCGTTTGTTGGTAATTATCGGATTCCAAAGTTAACCATATAGATGTTAATGTATGGATAAACGGACAAGCTGTCAAGCAGTTTACCAGTACTAGTTGCCATCACTTTCGAAACGAACTGAAACTTCTGTACATCCTATAGCAGAGATACAGAGCAGATGACCGTAGAAAAGACGCTATGATCATCAATCACAACGAAAGTGACTTGCGCCGTCTAACCCGATTCACAGTCTAACGCTTTACCTTTTTAGTTAACGAACGGCTTTATTATATAGTTAAAAATACATGTATGTATTGTTTATAAAGGCCAATCATGTCACAGGAATGCTTCTATTTTCATTTTTCAAAAGATTTTGCTTTGGCCACTTACCTGAACCATCTTATGCTCCTGTTGCATTTTGACAATTATTAAAAATACAATGAATGGAAATCAGAATACCTTGATTACATTTTGTTATTTTCATGACAAATAATTTCACGTTATGAGCTACTTTCTCCGTGTGAGAAGCATCTAAAAAAAGCTATAAAACTATTATTTAAACGGTTTAAAACTCCTGTTTAGGCTTTTATAAAGAATTCATTTATAAGGTACAGTGTGCCGTTTAATAGTCTTATTTGTAATGTATAGACGTTTTTTTTTTTTCATTTAAAATATAAAATTTTTGTATACAGTAATTATTTAAAAGAAGACTCTATTTGACATTTCTACAGAACATTCATAGATAAAACAAGTATTTCGGAAGGCTGACAAACAGCGACAATTTTCAGCAATGGGAAATATTGCTCATATACCGTCGAAAACTGAAGAAAGTGTTGACGAGGTATGAAATTAGATATTCTCTTTTAAAGAGTAAATGAACGAATCTGATGAAATGAAAAATAATAATTTCTATTTTATTCAATGTATTAATTGTGTTCATATCTAAATATAGATACAATTTTCAACAGCAAAAAAATCAAAATAAAAAAAAATTATGAAATAAAAAAAAAATATAGGCTTAACTATCGAGTTGCCTTGCTCGTGAGCAAAGGGAGATACCAAACAAAGATAATTGTATGTTATTTTCTAAATAGTAGCGGATGTTGATAATTTAAACATCATACGAGTACTTATGAATTATGGTAACAGTTTAATCACGAGCAAAATATGAAAAATGCATTAAGTAAATTTGCTTCATGTTGGTTTTTTCATACATCTTCAATCTGATTTTCTAGTGTTTGCACTGGTGCCTGATAAAGTTATTTTAGACCCGTGTAAGATTAAATATAAAATGACATAATTCCAGCGCCTTTCATAAATAAATTGCGAGCTCAAGTTGTCGTTATTCTGCCGCGATCCAGATAGTTGTGTGTGTTAGAAAAAGATCTATATAGAATATGTATTTTTTCGTTATTTATTATCTAACTATAATCAGTATGTAAAATGTGAAAAAAAAATCAAATATTGGCTGTTGTCACTTTCGGGAACATCCAGCTTATGGTGTTCATTTCAAAAATCAGCCGAGCTCTGTTAAAGCCGAGCTGTTTTTGCTCGATATCCTTGTCTTTAACGGCGGACGATAAATGCAATTGCATTGAATGTTATATATATTTATATTATCATGAAAACTCTTATTCAGATTGACCTTTCAAGCACCGAGGTTGGATATCCAGCTCCAACAAGTCCCATCCCGTTGCATGATATTTTCGAGTGCAAAGAACGCTGGTTAACAAATACTTTTAATAATGGAAGCGATGACGCAGAATTACTGAAGAATTTGAACCTTATTACATTGGACCTGAACACGATGTCAGATGAATATGTCGACGATGAAGCGACAGGTCGCCCACATACTGCTGCTGCTGCTGCTGCTGATAAAAGATTGGCTTTCCCGTTTGCTATGATCGACAATCATGCTAGGATGGTATAATTGTCTTCCATTGACTTTTCTCCTCTGTCTTCTATTCTTGACATATTTTACTGAATGACGAAAGTAACGCTATGAACACGTAGGTTTAGCAAACGTTGGGTTGATATTTATCTTTATGTAGAAAACTAGTGGTTAGAAGTATTTCATGAAATAAATTTTGAATTATGAATCCGTTTATGTAATGTAGATCTAATAAAGGAACTCCATTGTGATCCAAATTCCTAAAAACGTAAAATTAAAAAAATGTGAAGCACTTTAAATAGAGGCAAAGGATAACAAATAAATATTATCAGAAAAAAATGAAAGTTGAATTTTTAGTCGCTCCTAGCCGGATTTGAGCATCAATAAAATATCGAAATAAAAAATGATTGCATTTAAATAATTAGTCCAAACAGTTGTACAAAAATCAAGGAAACTATGTCCCAATTCTGTCATGTCAAAACGTCAGTGGAGTCCCTTCAACTATAATAACACGAGTATGATGTCCTGTTGATTGAATGACCGTTTTTTGAAAGCATACCTCGGAAGAATTTCATATATATGTATATCGCTGTATAAAATCAGGTAGAAGTCAAGTTTTGATATTTCTAGTAACTTTCAGACAGTTTTTAAGATATTCTGAGCTTGTTACGAAATCTCTTTGAGTATGCCAATTTACATGTTTGTTACAGAAATAGTGAGTGAAATATACTGTTTTACATATACACAAGTTCGTAAAATGTATTTACATTTATTTTCTCCGGGTTATACTATCCGCAGGCTGATCCAAAGTTACTTGATTCCTTTGAAGAACTTATCGGGTATTTGAAGAAGCCGTTGTTGCACGATCCATATATAAAGATCAAAACAGCAAGAGCTATTCTTGTATGGCTAAGCCGGCAGAAACTAGAGGGGAAAAGCTATGGCAAAAAGGGCACAGACACACCCAGAGGCTTAATCCAGTACCTGAAAGAGGAGAAAATGTCATACACTACATGTTACGCTATACTTTGCAGGTATGATTGAAGTGTAACAGTTTTTTGGGATCATTTATTAGAGTGTTTGTAGTATATTTGATTGATAACCACTTTGGCCGGTGCTGGGGAGGGACGTGAGAGATATGTAGCACTAAACCACTAAACATTATATCTTAAGAATAGACTAAGTGATTTTCCATTTTGATCTCGAAGGATCTCAAATATCCTAGAATTTTGTACCAATTATCTCTATGTACAAGTTCACCATTTGCATCTTTATTTTATAGATTATTATTTGACTACATATACTTCATTTTAGGGCAGTTGTTAAAAAAAGATCACTTTGTAATAGTTCATGATTAAATGTGTTTTAACACATTTTTCATTATCTGAGAAGCTTGATCATTCATTATATGTTAAAAGAAAGTTGACATGTCATAATTATATTGAATATATTACTCTTATATGCCAAATGATGTGAAGAAATTACTTCTCGAATTATTCTGTTTAACATTATCATATAAATTTTAATAATTCGCATTTTAAATTAAAAAAACAGAGGAAATATGATGGACAAATAATACGATAATATGATTAATGTCATTTTTTATTTCCTGGTCATATCAGCAAGTGTCAGAAGATTTATTTTAAATAAATCACGTAATTACAGAAAAGCTGATCTGCAGTGTGCTGTTATAAAAGGGTATGTTAAGATAGAGGGGAGTGATGACGGCTCACAACCTCTTACTTCTTGGAACGCTGTACATGGAGAAACAGGGTGGCAAATTGTCCAAGCCTACTGGACATGCAGGGCCATGTTTGGTTATAAGTCTGGTGATTGGACAAAAGTTGAAGAGGATGGGAAAACGATGTCAAAAAAGGAAAAGGCATCTTCCGGAACGGAAAAGAATATCTTTGATGAAAGATATTTCATGCCTGATCCAGAGCAGTTCATTTACCAATGTTGTGCTGAAAACAAGGAATGGCAACTTGTTCCTACGCGTTCAATGGTATCATCTTATGTAGAGTTTGCAAAGAAACCTATTTTATACTTTTCTTTCTTTGATCTCGGCCTTCAGCTAATCAGTGAACAAAACTGTGTTTTAGAGTCTAAAGATGGCTTCTGTAAAATTGAACTAAAAGCTAAACCAAGTAATGCTCATCTGATTTCATTAAGCTACGAGTTGTATAGAAAAGAGCCTGATGTTGAACCAAGTGGTGACAAAGCAAAGAGAAATGAAAGGAAAAATGACGGCGAAGAAGATTATGCTAGAATGGTTTTCAATTCAAGAGCTGCTGAAGTATTCACGTTTGACATTAGGTTTCCAAGGACTGGTTTCTACAAACTAGTTATTAGAGGGGGTCCACATACATCAGGATATAGATCATTATGCGAATTCAGACTTATCTGTAATCAAGAAATGGTTGGTCGTAGCCTACTGCCTATCGATTGCGGTAAAATTGGATGGGGTCCAGGACCTACAACAAAAGAAGCTGGCCTTCTATTACCATCTAAACCAAGTGGGCTCATACCCGTGAGTACAACTGACCGGAAGACAGACGTGAAATTTCAGCTGCGCGACATGACAGAAAAATATACTGCTGTTGTACATGGTGAAGTAAGCGGTCGAAGACAGAAACTGGACAATTCCGTGCACGTCCAGAAAATAGAACACGCACATCAGCTTGTCGTCGACGTTTCCCTTCCAGATAGTGGAGAATATGGTCTGTCAATACAACACATGGATAAAAAGAAACAAGATAGTGAGTGGGAGAATGTCTGTCACTATCTTATATCAACATTGACCTACAAGTATGAACATGTAAGTAAATCTTACATTTTACATGAAGTATTGAAATTGCAGATATTGTTTGCTGTGTATTTTCAACTGCGCATGTGTTTAAAATATAATGATTTTATTACCGAGTAAGATTGAAGGAAAAATGTTGAAGTTAAACAATGTAAATCTTAGATACATCGTTACAAAAAAAGTTGTTTCTTTCAAGCCACTGCCTCTGAATAGTATGCATTCTTTAACACTGAACCAAATCCGCCATTTTATTTCTTTATGGCAAATTGATAAAGATAAATTGTACGGTTGTAATTTAGGATAACCTATATGTTTTGTTAAGCTATTTTACAAGTTGCTTTGATTTGAAGTACCTTACATTCTATTAAGCAATCCTTATAGAAATATAGTTGCTAACTTCTGACACATTTTCTAAACCTTTCAGACATAAAGTTATCTTTTGAAAAAATTGACACATGCATCTAAAATTCTACAGAGTGCAATTCATAATTAACAAGTATACTAAAGGAAATTTAAGTAATTCCAAAACATCATTCATAAACAAAATTGTATAAAGGTCTAATGTGCCTTTATAATTACTTTTAAGAGCGGAAATCATTGTACGGCAATTGGGAAATTCTTATGATTTTATTATTTATAACGCTATATTTTCATAATTTAGAAATACCAAAATGTTGCCTGCATTTTACATATTGGAGTATATTTATAGGCAAATGTAAAACTTGCGAAAAAGTGTCTTAAAGATGTGACTGAAAAACTTGAGGAGCCAAGACTGTGGAAGAAACAAATAAAAGAAATACAAAAGTGCATTGTTAAGTGTAAGAAAGAGAAGGTACCCGACAATGCCGATGAAATGATCACAGCCAACTCAATGCTTGTTTTCCTGACCTGCAAGGACAGTAAGAATCAAAACTTTCATTACATTTTTCTCAAATTAAACCGTCAGTCGGAACCGAGCAATATTTCCATTTTTTTACGTTCTGCGTTCTGGACGTTTTTTTTTATTACTTTTTTAGCCCACCTGTAACAAAGTCACAGGGTGAGCTTTTGTGATCGCTTTTAGTCCGGCGTCCGTCCGTCGTCCGTAAACTTTTACTTTAAATGATATCTCATCATAAACCACTGAGCCAATTTCATCCAAACTTCACAGGAATGTTCCTTTGGTGGTCACCTTTGAAAATTGTTCAAAGAATTTAATTCCATGTAGAACCCGGGTTGCCATGGCAACCAAAAGAAAAAAACTTTAAATATCTTCTTCTAAAAAACCCGAAGAGCTAGAGCTTAGATATTTGGCATGAAACATCTTCTAGTGAGTGTATACAAAGCTTGTTCAAATAAAAGCTCTGTTGTCAAAATTGGCCCCGCCCCAGGGGGTCATTGATTTTCATTATATGCATATAGTAAAAACTTAAAAAATCTTCTTTTAAAGAACCCAAAGAGCTAGAGGTAAGATATTTAGCATGAAACATCTTCTAATGGGTGTCTACCAAGTTTGTTCAAATAAAAGCCCTGGGGTCTAAATTGGCCCCGCCCCAGGGGGTCTGATTTTCCCTATATGCATATAGTAAAAACTTGAAAATAGTAAAAAGAGCTAGTGCTAAGATATTTAGCATGAAAAATGTTTTTTATGAATGTCTACCGAGTTTGTTCAAATAAGAGCCCTGGGGTCAAAATTGGCCCCGCCCCAGGGGTCATTCATTTTCCTTATATGTGTATAGCAAAAACTTAAAAAATCTTCTAATAGGTAGAGCTTAGATATTAAGCACGAAGCATCTTCTAGTAAGTGTCTACCAAGTTTGTTCAAATAAAAGCCCTGGGGTCAAAATTGGCCCCGTCCCGGGGGTCATTGATTTTCCTTATATGTGTATTGCAAAAACTTAAAGGAATCTTCTTTGAAAAAAAAAACGAATAGCTAGAGTTTAGACATTAAGCATGAAACATTTTCTAGTAAGTGTCTACGAAGATTTTTCAAATAAAAGCCCTTGGGTCAAAACAAGCCCTGCCCCAGGTGTGAGATTGTTTTTAACTATATGTGTAAAGAAAAAAATTGACCAGCTAGACCTTAGATGTTTAGCATGAAACATCTTCTAATGGGTGTCTACCAAGTTTGTTCAAATAAAAGCCCTGGGGTTAATACTGGCCCCGCTCCCGGGCCTATATACAGTTGAGCGACTTCAGGGCCATCATGTCCCTCTTGTTTTTAAATTTGATTCATTTTGTTAAGGAAACAAAGCATGAGAATTATTCTGAGATGTATTAGATATGATAACCACAGAAAAGTAAAGTGTGTTTAAAAGAGGTTTTTCATTCATTTAAACGGGTTCTTTCAGAACTAAGAGACTGTGTTCTTCGTAGAAATATTCACGTGATCGACAAAACGTTATCCATTGTGAGTATGTACAGGGATCAGGATGCTTTGTCCGGAGAGCTGACTTTTGTAAAACAATTAAGGAATGACATCAAAGCTCTTGGCGGTTATGCTAGAATGGTTCCGAGACTAGAAGATGCACATAAAGAAATTATAGCACTTAAACACGCGCCAGAAGAGGTTTACAACACGTTCAAAGCACTTTTGGTTCTTCTTGGGGAGTCAAAATATAAAAATATGGTATTTTTTATCTTTCTTTACAACGACATCGGCACATTTCATTTATAAATTATATTACATTATATACTGCTTTACATTCCAATAACTATCGCAATACCCAATTGTAAATACAATACTTCAATTATAAAGAAAGTTATAGTTGATTTGGCCAATTTCAGAAATAAACATGGCCAATCACTTAGAAGTCAATGACATTTCAGAATAATTCAACTTGTCGGTGTTTTCATATGTGTTGTTTTGTCCCAGTAAGAATCAAATCTGTAGGCATACAAAGATATGGCAATAAACGCAAATTTCAATAATTTGACCTTTACAGTTAAGGTGAATTAAAGTTCAAAATCATATCAGAAAAAATCAACATGTTTGTTTCGTCATATTTGTTCATTTGTCCAAGTATGAATTAAATCTGTAAATAAGTTATGACAGCTTAAGCACATTTTAAATAATTTGACCTTCAATTTCTTGTTCAAATAAAGGTCGATGTCATATTTGAATTTTCAATGCATTGTTTTGTAATAAGGTCTCTTTTGTCCGAGTGTAAAACAAATCCATACAACAGTAGTAAAATTCATTAATTAAGTGTCAAAATGAAATTCAATTAAATCTTCTTAATTTTTGGTCCCAATGGTTGTTGTGTACACGTATAAATACAATACATTCATCAATTACAAAATGAAAGACAATTATGGCAACTGCAAAATAACAATAATTTGACCTTCAGGGTCAAGGTCTTTGCTTCAAAGTCAAGGTCTTTGATGAGTCAATGTCAAATTGAGTTTGATCTCTTCTTCTAAGCCATCTTATTCAAAGGTAATTGTGCTAATGTTTAAAGATAATTCATTCATAAAAAAAAACAAAATTATTGCCAATAATAGCAAGATCAAGGAAAATACATGTCAATCTCATAGATGAGTGAAGGTCCTAATTAATTTTGTCTACTCTTAGGTATTGTCTGAAATATTATTGTGTTTAAGTATGATGACTATAAAATTATAAATAGAAAAGATAACAGCATATTATAGCAAAATATCAAGAAAAAATTGACCTTGAAAATCAAGGTCTTTCATGAATCAAGGTCATGTAAAGTATGGTCTATATAAAGTTCTTGTCCAAAAAGTTGCTGAGTGCATGTAAAATGCCAATCCATCTAGAAATAGAAAACTGCTGACGTTCAAGTTTCTGAACAACAACGGGAATTACAACCGAACTGAAGGAATAGCTTGGAATCATTTTTTCGAAACAGTCGAGCTAAAAATTAGGAATAAAGGTTGGAGGCCAATATCAATTATGGGTCAAGGTCTAATTCCTTACGATATGAGAGTAAAGCTCATAACAATAACTTCTGACAAGTTTAAAGAGTATAAAGCTTTATCTTATAGAATTCATAAATGGTCAAATTATGGGGTTTCTTTTCATAATCTCATGGTTGATCCTGTAAAAATTTCTGGTATCACAAACACAAGGGTAATGTACATACACAAAAATGTTCCGGAATAAAACAGTATGCTGCAATTGTAAGAGTGGTTTTCGATGATGTTGATTTTAACGCTAAAAAGGGTGTATTTTATGTACTTTAGGACTGGGCTTCAATACAGGCCAGAATGAAAGCAACTCATGATCCTGTTGTAGCAGTGTCTATTCTTAGTAAGATGACACAAATTGAAAAGCAAGAAATTGGAGAAGATCGTGTACAAGAGGCCTCCGAAATCCTTCATATGTACGACGAAAATCAAGTAAGGATGGTTAACACTGATGCTCATAGTTTTTATGTTTGGGTAAGTGAGACATATATTAGAGTATATTTAAGTCTCTGACTTTCAGGAAAGTTAAAGCATTTAGTATGTTAAATGTTGGATAGATATTATAAGTATAATATATGCATGTTGTTAAAAGCAGCACGCCTCCAGATTCATGTTAATTTTCATCAAAACTTTGGAAATGTATTTAAAAGTAAAATATTGTAAACAAAAAAGTAATTCACATATTGCAATCGGCACTTATTATCCAAGAAAATTACCAAAAAGTCGTCATCATTTGCAAAAATAGTCCTTCCTGTGTTAGTAACGCAGTTGAAATATGGTAATAAAATATTGCAAAATCAGTCTTAAACCGCACATAACATGACAAATACATGTAACTTGGATCTTGAATGTTTTTATTTTTTCTTAAATTTTTAGTACATTTTTCTCAATATTGATTTTTTTTTAAATATTTCGGCGTGCAGCTTTAGATAAGAACATTTGCTCTGTTTTACACTTCGATGATACACGGGACAAATTATGACGCATGAAACGTATCTAATTCCTACAATAACTAACAAACTGCTGACAAGATTCAAACGCAAATGGAAACATTCTTAAAATCAAAACTGTTGTAAGACATGTAAAAGTGCCTTGTGAAAATATCGAATAAACTTCCTACTTCCCTTTAAATAAGTATGTTTTAATATTTAATCTTTTAATTAGAAAAAAGTTAACCTTTTTTTAACAAGAATCAAACAAAATATTTCAATTAAACAATTTACTTCAAATGCTATATACTACTTTATTTTCAGATTGAAAATATCATTAAAGTTCACAAGAAGTTACCGTAAGGTATAATTTCATATTTGGACAGAGTATATCAGTGCATGAAGTTGGCGACTGATTCATTTAACATTGAGACGCTATTTAAACTATCTCACTGGACATTGCGTCAAGTTTCCCCTTTAAAATGTCTTGCATAGTGATACAGAGTAAACGTGATAAAAGTGTAAGTCTTGATTGCTGAAAAAAACCTTCTTCAAGTTATTAAAATCGTTTAATACTTCTTTTTGACAAAGGCTTTTCTCGGCTGAAAGTTTATTGTTGATGTTTTTTTGTTAGTGTGTCTGTGTGTTTAATACTTACAGTTCATATTTGTTCTTATCGTTTAAAAACGTGTACACATATAAATTGTTCCAGTTATAATTTTATCTTTCAGTTTACGGTATATTGTACATAATGCTCTTTGTGTGTTTAATCTTTCAATGTTGTTTGAATCATATAATAATTTCAAGATATGATTGGATTGGGTTGAATAGTTCTTTTGATGGAAAGGGAATAGGTAATTGTAGAATTTTCATTATGTTTATAAGAAACTTTAAGCAGTGTTGGATTTGGAATGTTTAATAAATTTATTATGTCACGGTTCAGAATTGTCAACTTTTTATGCCACGGTAACAACTTTTCACTATTTTGGGGAGTTAATGTTGTAAGAAGGCGGATAGCTCAGTCAGTAGATCCGGGGTACGGTCTTCCGAGTGTCCCAGTCAGGCTGCAAATTTTTCTGACCAGTCACATATATTTCCTCTCCGAAAATTGGGACACAATTCCACCAGTTCAATGAATATTTTTATAGATGAATTCGAAAGTAAATCAAAGTGAAACTGGTACATAATCAAGTGGTAAAAGCAAACAAGAATCTATCAGGCTCATTAAACATTATTATATGTTAGAAGACTATTCTGTCTGTACGTGTATAGAAATATAGAATCTTATTTCATTTTTTCCAGTGTTTTATTGTAATATAATTATCAGATGATTATATTCTGATAAACCACTAGTGAAATTTAAAAATATAATTTTCACTGCAGCCGGACTATATCTGAATGCGGATGAAAAGAAAATCACAACTAAATGGTATAACACGCAGAAATTAATGCCGTCATACGTAAATTTTGCTTCTTTAGGAAAACAAAGTCAATGTCATCATACATCATGTTAAAAATGTTACAAAATTAAAGAACTTTAACAGAACTATATTTCAAAATTTATGATGTGACGTCATGATGTGATGACGTCACAAAGGAGAATGCGCGACGTTACGCGGCAAAATCAGTAAAAAATACTTAAAATCACTTAAAAAGCATGAAATAAAAAGAAAATTTATTTGTTTAACATAAAAGATTGAAATATTTCATTCGTGAACACCAGCTATTATATTTTCACTCGTGGCTACGCCACTCGTGAAAATATTGCATCTTGTGTTCACTCAGTGAAATTATTTTTCAATCTTACATGCAAAACAAACAAATATCCTTTATTTCATTGGATTAGATGGAGGATAAGGAAATCCCATCTGAGGATGATCGGTTCAATCGGAAATGAGCCTTGGCGGGTGCCCAATGCAGTGTGAAGCAAAAGGATAGGGTCAATGTCCGATCTCGGTAGAAGCCGGTCTACTTTCCCCCTCATAACTTAAAGGCTTAATTCCGGTAAACGAACTTCAAAATGATACGAGTGTGACTTGATGTTTATCCAGTATAACGTCGAATGAGCAATACACCTATAACGCAAGATAACGTATACAGTCAGTGCATGACTCACTTACCATAACCATATAAGTAAAAAGTGAAAAACGTGCAGATATTAACGAACAAAAATTAATATTTTTATGCAACGTGACATTGAAGGAACTCCACTGAGGTTTATAAGCCTAAAAACATTAAATTTCAATTTTTCATATGGATAAACAGGAACATTTTAAACAGAAATATTTATAAAATATAACCGAGACATATACAAGAAATACATTGAAAATCATATGTTTGTGCTATTCTCAGAATCCATGTCCGATTTGAATGAAAAGCGTTGAAACGCTTTTCGATTTTGGGTCATTTTTCACTAATAATAAATTATTCTGGAAAACGGAGCACGCAAATGATCTGAAATTTTGCACATAAGTTTTTAATATAGATCGACATCAAATGGAGTAATAATTTCAAAAAAATATATTTCCAGTTCCGTCATGTCAAAAAATCTCCCTTTAATGAAAAAAAAGCAAAAAATCTACAATACAACAATTTTTCTTCAAATTTATATGACAGGCCATGTTTAAACATGAAAAAACGCGATTTAAGGTAATTTCAAGTATTTTCATTATTTTCTGTTAACCCCTGCCTTCATATACACGCCTTTTTCACGCCCCCCCCCCTTTATGTTGTCTCAAATGATAAAAAAATGCCTTATTTAGGCCCCAAACACTTGTTTTTGTTTGAGAAATGTTGTTTAAAAAAGTGACCTTTTTTTCGGCGCGGCCCCAACCAAAAGATACATCCGGGGTTTACCAGAAGGGGGATGTGCCCCCTTCTGTTTTGGGGGGTTTGAAGGGGGGCGGAGTCCCCCTCATCGCCAAGAAAATTTTGGACTTGTGAGAGGCTGTAAATGACCCCAGATTGATCATAAGGTAACGTGTAACCAACGCTGAAAAGCATTTGACTCTATCTCAATCCATTGAGAAGTTGCAGCACTTTGAAATCAATTTTGATGGAAAAAATCAACGCAAAATAGTGATTTTTGGCAATTTTGAGATGTCCCCTCGTTGCCATGGTAACAGAAAATTTAAGCCTGAGCATGTTGTTGCAAGGTCAATGGTCCAGTCAACATTTGTGCCAAGTTTGATTAGTGTTGAAGCAGTTTTCATAGTATTATAGCAATTTGAACTTGTAACTTTTCATTCTTTATTACATATGAATGGGTCAATCTCCTTCATAATATCTTATCTTATGAACTATATTACTAATTCAGCATGTTTAACAAAAGAACACATTGAAAGCATATCTATTCCAAGGAAATGTCAAAAGTGCTAAGCAAAAGTTGAAAGATATGTTAGCAACTAAATTGAACCTGGAAGATAGAAAACATACTTAAATGTAATGAACGTGTAGAAGGAGAAGGTCCCGGATACAGATGATGAAACAATTGCTGCCATAGCAATGTTATGGTTCCTAACGCGTTATACAGCAAATGCTTACTCTATCTACACGTACGAGCATGTCACTTATGAATGCAGTTTTCACATTTCCAATATATTATACGGGACAAGTGTCAAACAACGCATGAAGTTTAAATACTAATTTAGCAGTACATATAACATAATTTTACCATTCAATTTACATTAAGCATACGTACAACTAGATACACTGATGAGACTATTAACGACATATCAGGTAGTATTATTGTGCGTCATACTTTTATTGTTGGCCTATTTTACAATTAATTATTGCATAAGGTCAATTTTATAACAAATACTTGTTTCCCATTGCTTTTAATTATCATTGGCGATAAGAAAATGTTTTAAAAAATGAAGTATGCTGTTACTTCCAGTTAAAAAGGATCAACACATCTGTCATTTAAGTAAACGTGAAAAAAGTCACACTGATACAAATATGTTCACGAGATTTGTTTATGCCAAGAAATGTCGTACAACATATATGCCCTCCCTCCCCTTTCTAGCCATTGACTCACATTATTGGTAATTTTGTTATAGAAACTTGCCATAAATGGAAACATGGAAGTGTTCAATTCGATTGAAAAAAGAAAAATAATGAAGACTTTGTGATAAATAGTTTTCAAGATAATGAGACATTCAAGAACCCTGTGACCTTGACCTTTGACCTAGCAACCCCAAAATATATAGGGATCACTTTCTAGTTATGACCAATCAGTTTGTGAAATATGAGGACTTTGTGATCAGTAGTTTTTAAGATAATAAGTGGAAACCATTCTGGCAGTTAATGGCCCTTTGACATTGATCTTTGATTTAGTGACCCTCAAAGCAATAAGGGTAATTTTTTGGTTATGACCAATCACTTTATGAAACATGAAGACTTTGTGATAATTATCTGTCAGGATAATGACTTGAAATCATAATTCGATATTTTTCATTCAAAGACCCTGTGACCTTGACCATTGACCTAGTGACCCCAAAATCAATAGGTGTCATTATCTAGTTATTACTAATCAATATCTGAAATATGAAGATTTTGTAATGAAATGTAACATGATAATGAGCGGAAACCTTCTGACATTAAATGCCCTGTGACCTTGACCTTTCAACTAGTGAATCAATAGGGGTAATCTACTACTTATGACAATTCAATATCTGAAATATTACGACTTCAGTGATGAATATTTTTCAAGATAATCAGCGGAAACCATTCTGACATTTAAGGCCCCTGTGACATTGAGCTTTTAGCAGGTGACCCTAAAATCAAAAGGGGTCATTTACTAGATATGAACTTTTTATCAATTTTTTTGGTGATAAGAAGTAACCAAGATAATAAGCAGAAATAATATTACCATTCAAGGTCCCTATGACATTGACCTTGACGGAAACATTCTGACATTTAAGGCCATTGTGACCTGACCTTTGACATAGTGACTGAAAATCAATAGATATCATCTACTAGTTATGACCAATCGATATGAGGAATATGAAGCTTTAAGACTTTGTGATGAATACTTTTCAAAATGATCATTAAAATGAATTGTAACCAAGATAATGAGCGGAAACCATTCTGACATTTAAGGCCCTTTTGACCTTTGACTTAGTGACCGCTTAATCAATAGGGATCATCTACTAGTTATGTCCAATTAATATGTGAAATATCAAGACTTTGTGATGGATTGTAACCAAAATAATAAGCGGAAACAATTCTGACATTAAAGGCCCCTGTTACCGTGACCTTTGACCTATTTACCCCGATATCAATATGGTCCATCAACTAACTATGAGCAATCAATATGTAAAATATCAAGACTTTGCGACGAATTGTTATCAAAATAATGGACGGAAACCATTCTGATATCTTTGGCCCCTGTGACCTTGACCTTTCCTTAGTGACCCCAAAATCAATAGAATTTATTTTCTAATCATGTCCAATCAATATGTGAAATATAAAGATTATGTGAAGAATACTTTTCAAGATAATCAGCGGAACCATTCTGACATTTATGGCCCTTGTGACCTTGACCATTAACCTAATGACCCCTTAATTGAAAGGTATAATCTCCTAGTTATGTCCAATCAATACGTGAAATATCAAGACTTTGCAATGAATCGTAAGCAAGATAATGAGGTCAAACTATTCTGATATTTAAGGCCCCTTTGACCTTGACCTTCGACCTAGTGTGCAGAAAATCAAAAAAGGGGCATCTTCTAGTAGTGACCAATCAATATGTGCTGTATGTAGACTTTGTGATGAATACTTTCAAATATAATAACTGGAAACCATTCTAACATTTACGGCCCCGTTGACATTGACCTTTGATTATGATCAACCACTACATGAAATATGACAACTTTGTGATAAATAAAAACCAAGATAATAAGCAGAAATCATATTACCATTCACGGTGCCCGTGA